CCTCAACTACCAGATGTATAACTATCTTAATATTCCTCTCTGCTTCAGTTCTGCCCCTACAACATGCAGTCAATAATTACATTAAGATGGTCCTGGTGTCCACTATAGTTGACATTGAAAAAGGCATGATTTTTTGAAACAAAAACAAGTTAACAGCTTTGAAAGCTAAATGTATTGGTCCTGACACTTTAATAAACAAATATAAATGTAATAATAATAGTAAAAACATCTTTAAAAAGCTAAATTTTTCATGCCATTTTCCTTCCCATAAAACGTGCTTGTTTGTATGTCGGCCATTTTGGATGCAGTGTAAGAAGTGGTTTCTAGCATGCCAGCCAATCAAATGACATATCACTAGAAAGCATAGTGGGTCCTCTGAAAAGTACAACAGAGTGACAGAGTAGCTCAAAGAAAATTAATGAAAACAGAATGTTCACAACATAGGACACGCGTCAATGCGCGGTGTCACAGGAGGAAATGATTAAAGAATGAAAATAAGATTAAACTAATTTAAATTATTAAGTAGAAAAATAGTCTAGGTAAATAAATCAGTACAGTATTTAGTAGGACAAAATTAATTGGATTAACTTAATAGCAAATGCAAATAATATTTAAAACTATTCTGAAATAAAATTATGTTTTAACTATTTTGTTAAAATAGTTAAAATTATGTTAAAACTATTCTGAAATAAAAATGTTAATTATGTAGCCCACATAATAAATAAAAATTGTACAAATAATGAATACTGTATATACAATTTTGTTGAAATGTCATAGTTTGTATTTTCTTTCCAATATTTTGCATGAATTTAATTGTATTATTTCTAAAGGTGTTCTGTGACTAAAATATTATTTTAATAAATATACCTGTTTAATACATCTGTTTTGTTCAAATTCACCATTATATATTACCCACATTCACTGAAAAAATGGATACAAATATTCATGTTCAAAATGGGGTGTACTCATATGCTGAGCACTGCATATAATAGTATACAATTTATTTATATAATTATTTAACTTTATAATAATATAAAAAACATTCTTATAGTATTAGATTTATATACATATAGATAACCCCAAATATAATAAAAAATTCAAATTGGATTAAACAAACAAATTTTAATTAGGTTAAATTTAATACAAAATAGATATAAATTAATAAGTAAAAAAGTAGCCTAATTAATCAGTACAGTATTTGATAGGACAAAATGTATGGGAATAACTTAACAGCAAATAATATTTAAAAACCCTTCTGTAAAATGTGTAAATATGATATTATATAGAAGACTTTCAATCATTAAGTTGCAGTGAGGGCATTTAAGCATGAACAACATGCTCAGAAACTGATATTTACTTTGGATGCCCTAGATATTCCTCGTTATTTATGTGTATGTTTTAAAGCATTATATCAGCATAACCCAAACCTCAGCCAACTGTGTTTTCAATGATTGTGTCCTACTGCCCCCTACTGCTTCATAGACACACATGCAGCTGTCCGCCACCTGTGTTTTCCTCATCAGATCTCATCTGTTGTAACTAATGCACAGTCTAATTACAATTCAGGAGAGGAATATGACAATCTGGGCGAAGTTGGCTCGGCGTGTTGATGCTGATCAGAAATGACAGCAGCTCCGTTCCAGAACCAGAAAAGATAAGAAAGAAATCGAAAAAAGAACACCACCAGAAATGAAGTCTCTCCTCTTCTCTGAGACTCCGAGATTTATTTAGAAACCACTCTGAGACACGGATAGAAAATATTCACAGCGTACACGTTTACAAAAGAACATGGCACAACCTTTTCAGTGTTTTTAAATGCAGATCAGGGTGATTCAAAAGAACTGTTTCACCTAAAGGCTTCAAACAGGGAGGCTATAGTTTTAAAGGCTATACAGGTTTTTAAAACACAATTATGGCACTTAATATGGCACTAATGTAGTGCATTAGAAATTATACCCCTTCTTTAGGGATTATTAAAGGAAAAGTTAAACCAAAAAAGGAAAATATCCTCATTCTTTTCTCAGTCTCATGTGGTTTCAAACTCATCTTTCAATTTTGGCTCATAAAGATTGCACATGCAAAAACCTCTAAGTGAAAATTTCTTCTAAAATAAACATTTTTCATAGCCTACTATGTTTATGTTCAGTTATTTTACTTTAAGGGAATAAAAAGAGCATATTCTTTGTGAAACAGTTGAACCTACACTACTAGTCAAAAAAGTTTGGGGTCAGTAGGATTTTTAAATGTTTTAAAATAAGCTTCTCTTGCAGTCTTCAGAGTCACATGATCCTTCAGAAATCACTCTAACACTCATTCATTCATTTTTCTTTTCAGCTTAACTTTATTAATCAGTGGTTTTCAAAGCGGAATGCACCCCTAACTTATCCAGCATATGTTTTACGCAGCGGATGCTCTTCCAGCTGCAACCCAGAACTGGGAGATACCCATATACTCTCATTCACACACATACACGAGGGAAAATTTTGCTTACCTAATTCATGCACACTCCAAAACTAAATCACAACTGACCCAGCCAAGGCTCGAACCAGCGACCCTCTTGCTGTGAGGCGGCAGTGCTACCCACTACGCCACCCCACTATAACATTAATTATTATTATTATTATCATTATTATTAATGGTAATAGTAATAAAAGCAAAATGACTGGAGTAATAATTTGATATGAAACTAAATACGGTTAAAAGTGTAATAAAAATTTTACTTTTTTTTTTTACATTTAATAAATTCCACCTTGATGAACACAATAATTAAAAAAAAAAAAAGGTAAACAATGAACTAAAAAACTGACCCCAAACATACTGTACACACAGGAGCTTGAGGAAAATTTGTATCTGAACTTTTTTGTTTTTTCTTTAGATTTTTGGTTTGTTTGTTCTGGACCAAAAAAAATTTGTATTTTTTTTTGAGAAAATGATAGTCATTTTTAAGATCATCAAAAGATACTACAGAACAAAAACTATGCATATTTTGAGACAAAACTGAACATCTAAAACATTGCTGTGTATGTATTAAAGCACTGGTACCGGTACCAAAGACTTTTAAAGATGGTGCAGTGATACCTGACTGGTTAAAGCTGAACATTTATTAATAATTTTACAAGTTTTGACTCTTAGAAATGCAGATTTGTCAGCGCCAATGACCTAGTGATTAGTATGCCGACATATAGGACTGAGGTGCTCACGGCGACCAGACAAACTATCTTCACAGTCCTATTCATTCATTTATTCATTCGTCCATTTTCTTTTCGGCTTAATCCTTTTATTAATCAGGGGTCACCACAGCGGAATAGATCACCAACTAATCCAGCATATGTTTTACGCAGCAGATGCCCTTCCAGCTGCAACCTGTCACTGGGAAACATCCATACTCACACACATATACTGCGGACAATATTAGCTTACCCAATTCACCTATCGCACATGTCTTTGGACTGTGAGAGAAACCAGAGCAACCCAGGATGAACATGCAAACTCCACACAGAAACGCCAGTGTTTCTCGACCCAGTCGAGGCTCGAACCAGCGACCTTCTTGCTGTGAGGCGACAGCACTACCTACTGCGCCACTGCGTCGCCCCAACTAAAATACAATTAGAAATAAAGAAAATGTAATGCAGATCTGGCTGTAATTGAGTTGAGAGCAACAGGACCATGAGTTGAGATCCAGATGTAAACCTCTTTCAGTTCAAACAGAGCAATCACACATTTAGATGTTAAATCAAGCCAATCCCAACCTGCCAAGTGTGAACACACTCTTAAATAAAGGTTTCTGAGAATGTTCAGAAATGTTCAAAAATTACGCCAACACATTTTCTTACATTTTTTTGTCTTGTTACTAGTCCACATATCTAAAAATGTTTCAATTAAAATCCATTTTCTAGACAAGCAAAACCGGCTGTCTTGTTTTAAGAAATAATATTTCAAAATTAAGTAAATTTTTTTTACCTTAATACAAGCTAATAATGAGGAAAACAAAATATTCTAGTTTTTCCTATTGGCATACGATTTTTTAAATTTTTTATATTTTGCTTAACCCATTAGCAGATTATTTTGCTTGTTTTAGGAAAACACTCACTTAATTTTGACATTATTTCCTAAAATGACAATGTTTTACTTGTCTAGAAAATTTCTTCAATCAAGAATTTTTAGATATTTGTACCAGAAAAAAAGAAAAAAAAATCTAAGTAAAAAAAGCATTTTTTTTCTGCAGCGTATATGGGGCCATAAATATATAAAAAGTCATTACTGTTTGAAACAACATGAGAGTGAGTGAAGAAAAAATCCTTAAAGGGATGGTTCACCCAAAAATTAAAATGCTGCTATCATTTACTCAGTCTTCACTTGTTCAAAACCTATCTGAGTTTCATCTGTTGAACACAAAGGATGGTATTTAAAAAAATGCTGGTAGCTGTTGCAATTTTCTTCCTACCCAGACTACCTAGTTTTTCACAATTTGTTTGTGATGTTTTCTGATAAAAATAAGTGATTTTGTGGTGGTAATTTCCAGAAATTTGCGGACAATTTTGCGATTAAAAAAAGAAAAAAAATTATATTATATTATATTATATTATATTATATTATATTATATTATATTATATTATATTATAAGGTAGCCTACTATGTTATCTGATACAAAAACAATGACACAAATCATAAAAATGAAGTTTCTAAATGTCAAGACAAGATCTAAATCAGATCTAAAACAGTAGGGATTAAGCCAAAGGAAGGTTGTATAACTAACTTTTATTCACAATCTTACTTTCTCTCAAGATTTCACTCCCCAGAGCATCTAACATCATCTACCTCACTCAGGACATGCGTTAGGGCATGGGTGGGCAAACTCGGTCCTGGAGGGCAGGTGTCCAGCAGAGTTTAGCTCCAACTCCAATCAAACACACCTGCTTATAGATTTCTAGTGATCTTGAAGACACTGATTAGCATGATCAGGTGTGTTTGATTAGTGTTGGAGCTAAACTATGCAGGACACTGGGATCTCCAGAACCGAGTTTGCCCACCCCTGCGTTAGGGCTTCCCCTACTGTAATACACCTACAACACAGGTTTCCGTAAAACTCGTCAACGGCAGGGAACCGTTTTCTCTCATTAGCTACAGGAAAAGAGGGAAACGGAAAAAATAATTAGAAATTTTACGCACACTATAATACCAGCCATACATGTAAAGCACAAATAATGGCCTTTAATTCAGTCACGTCCAGCAGCCGTCATCTTTGAATTAACCTCCATCATTGTAAGCTCCTTGCTTTTCTGTCTGTTCCATTGCTCCATTTGTTAGATGTTTGCTCCAACTTTCTTTTGTGGTCTGAAGTGCGTCAAACGCACAAAACGCCCAATTTGGGCCACAGGATATCCAATCTAATCTTAGTATTGACTTCACATGTAAATCACTCGCATTTTATCCTCGTCTAATATTCTCCCGGAAATCCCGGTCCTTAAGTAGTCTCCACCGCATCCCTCCCAGCTCTTGAGGTATGTCGAGCGCAACTCAACCTCACCTCTTTTCAGGTATGTCGCATTCCACTCAACCCCATCGCCCTTGAGGTACGTCTTGTGCAACTCACCCCCACCGCTCTTCAGGTACATCTCACGCACATGCCCCCACCGCTTTTCAGATACGTCGCACGCACACGCCCCCACTACTCTTCAGATTTTTTGCCCAATTTTGCAACGCCGCAATCGTGGAATTGTGAAAAACTAGGGGTTCTGCCTAACATTCTTCAAAACTCTTCTCTAATATTCAACTGAAGAAAGAAACAAATAAAGGTTTAAAAAAATCACATGATGAAGAATAAACGATGAGGTCATTTTGATTTTTGGGTGAACAATCTTTAAAAGTCAACAGTTCTTTTAACATACAGAAAAATGTCATTACAATTAACAAAATGGATGACTAACACACACACACACACACACACACACACACACACATCGGCTTTTGCACACACACGCACACAAACAGACTGACAGACACACACTCACTCACGCTATGGTACATTCGGTTGATGTTTTGTCCTCTCTGCAGTTCTTCAGCACAGCCTCTGTTTCAGTCTTTGTGCTGTTTAAACATCAGTTCTCCATCTGGCTCAGCTTGTGTGCTGCTGTAAACGTTGATGTTGTGGCCTGAAGGAAAGCAGCCGTTTGTTTTGACATGTTTCAGGATTGCATACACATGCTGGACTCACATATCCATGTCTCCATCATACGCCAGAGCTAGAGCCTTCTGTGGACTGCTGCTGGGACTGTCCTCGGGGTTTTTACTGAAACAGAGCGCGTGCATTAACAGTGCTTTTTTAAAGAAGTCTCTTATGCTTTACAAAGCTACATTTACTTAATGGAAAATACAGAAATATTGTGAAATATTGCTATGTTTTCTATTTCAATATAATTTAAAATATAATTTATTCCTAAGATTTAAAGCTGAATTTTTAGCATCATTACTTCACTGTTACATGATCCTTTCAGATTTCTTTACTTTTATTATTATTTCTTATAACATCAATAATGAAAACAAGCATGATGTACACTGATGTCTGTTATATAATGGTTTCCATATTTCGTGGTTCTCAAGTATTTTCTGTTTATTCGTGTTTGTGAATTGCATTATGGGAGCTTGATCTCTGCTCTGTCGACTTTTGATGGTGAAATTTCAATTCTGCAATTTAACACAGTTACTTTTATTGAAATTTTAGTAAATAATATAATTACAAGCAATAATATAGAGAAACAAGTCTGCAAAATAACAGAAAAATACACTGGGAGTTTAATACAATGTTTTTGTACTGTCATTTACAACACCAACCCAGACAATATATCACTTTAAGCTATTAGTAATGTTAATAAAACTAACATTTTCAAACCTTTTAAGGTTACAAGTTGTTTCAAGAAAGATCAAAGATCCCATAATGGTATTCAAAAGCATAAAATTAGACACAAAATAAAAACACAAATCCCAAAATACGGCTATATATGAATATAAATTTAAAAAATGCTAATTTATGGATATTTTTTTACAGTCACTGGTATTTAAAAATGGTTTTAATGGTATAGCGATGATGATTTTTATTATTATTATTATTATTATTATTATTATTATTATTATTATTATATTATATTATTATTATTATTATTATTATTATTATTATTATTATTATATGTAGCATTATTATTTAATTTATAATCTAATTGTATATAATATAATTTAAAATAGTTTAATACCAAATCACCATTTACATTTTGGGAGAAGACTTTAGTACACTGTAAAACCCCAAAAGTAAAGGTAAGTCAAACCATTTAAGTTCAAAAACAAATCCAAATGAGTACTGTGAATTTAATTCATTAGAGTAAACAAAACAATTTGAGCACAGTAAAACCCAATAAATGAAGTAAACTCAAACCAACTGAGTACTGTAAAACCCAATAAGTTAAGGCAACTCAAACTGTTTGAGCAAACCGATTGCTACAAACCATTTGAGTACAAAACAAATCTATATGAGTACTGTGAACTTACTCTAAGTTGACGTAATGAGGTATTTAATTCTCATTACCTTCAACACTGAGTTTAACTTAACTTTCAGTCAATTTTGAGTTACCTACACTCATTTAATTTGATAAAGCTGACTGTTGGGTTTTACAATGTAATGATCAGGGGCAGATTTAACCAATAAGGAAGGTAAGCGCATTCTTAGGGCCCCTAAATAAATACCCAGAAGTATAAGGTATACCTATAAATTACATTTTACAGCGTTTTCTAAGATATTTTATACGGTCAGGGTATAAAAATGTATCTGAATGTAAGTATTACATCTGTGCAAATAAGTTATATGTTATATCTGTGCATTAATTATTTCCAGTTGTAAAATCATTTTAAGAAAACAAATCATTTAAAAAGTTTTATAAGATGTTTTACATGTCACTATTTTGCATTAAGATAAAATGTAGAAAAGGATATTAAGTGAGTTAAGAAGAACAAACTGCAAAATAAATTTCAGTTAAAAGTACAAATGGTGCATTAGGACTTTTGGGCCCCATTGGCTGGAGTTGCTTAGGACCCCTAAATCACTAAATCTTCCCCTGGTAATGATGCAAAAAATGTAGGATCTTAGATAAAAAAAAGATTTTATTTTTGTCTCCAAACATTAATCTGATCAAAAATCTTAAACTTTTCACTTCCATTGAATACATATGCAAATATGTAAATCTGTACACCATTTCCGAATTTGCATCATGATTTGTTGCAGTTTAAACTTCTGCCACTAGAGTGCAGAGCAAACATAGTCATCTTCCAACTGACATTTACCAATTAGAGAATCATAAATGATTTTGTATTGCCTTAAAACATATGCTAGTGGTTTATTTAAGGGATAATGTTCAGTCAGTTAATCATGAGCACAAAACAAGCAGGCAGGAGGGCAATTAGACCCTGATTGCTTTATTATAAGAGAATAAAAAGACCGTAGAGGAATATGAACATTAAACTAGCAAAAGCCAAGTGAAAAATCAGCCTCACCACAGCAGGAAGGACATTACGATGAGGAGAAGGATCACAACAAACCCGGCCGCCATCAATCCATATACCCACAGCTTTACACGCCCATCTGTCAATCAAAACACACATTACCAAAGTGGCACTTGTTAATCATTAGGGCTTCACTATTGTATTGAGACCCTAATTAAATTATTAGGATTTTCAGATATCATCATCGTGATGCCTAAAAGTGATCTGTAATCTGTAGTGACCTGTAGAGTCTATAGTGTTACCAAGGCTTGCTGCTTGGCCACTTTTACCAAAATGGCTGTAACTCTTAAATTAAATTAAACATCTTTTTCAAATTCAGAATACTTATGTAGGATCTCAATCAGAATTCACAGTAAAACAATTGTTTAGTCTGACCATATGTATAATATAACATGGCTATAACATGAAAAAAACTTTGCCTTGAAATTGGGCATGCAGTATCTTCGTCTGAGGTGTCGGTCATATCTATGAGGGCACTGGTTTACCTCGAGAAACATGGATGCCATTGGCCAATGAAATCAAAGCCCCTAATAGTCAAGAAATGCATTCTGAAATGTTTATAGGGAGCTGTGTTTACATTATTCTCATGATATAAAAGCCAACTCACAGGACTCTACTCTACTCTCTTCTTCATGAGCATTTGTGTGAATATAATCTATAAAGCAGCTTAATCTGCTGTTAACAACTAGCCTAAAGTCAGTGGCGTAGCGCAAAATGCGGTGGCCCCCCTGCAGGGATCACTGACGGGGCCCCCTGATTAAAGGGTGGGGGGAGACAATGCGGGGAAGCGATCACAAATTGAGGAGCGGGGAAGGGGGGCCGGGTGGAGCGACAACGCGGGGAAGCTTTCCCAAACTGAGGAGCGATCACAAACCGAAAGCGGCGACAGCGTCAAAGTAGCCGGAAGTCATTAATTTTCAATGAGAACCAGCGGCGAGGAACAGCGCGGCTCGTCTTCTCCAGTGTGAGCGTCGAGGAGAGTTGAAATCAAGTCAACTTTATGGTAATGAGCTATGACGCTGTCCGGCAGCAAGCAATCAGAATGAAGTAGTCCATCGCTTGAGAGGAGTTCAGAGAACACAGACCTGTGAACTTTGGTTCCGACCACAGTTGTTTCCAAGGGTTTGATTATTGTGGTTGCCAGATTTTCAATTATTGAAAATCAAGACGACGCGGGTCCCATTTATCATGCGGGGGCCCCCCGCGGTGCGTGCCCTGCGGGCCAAGCTACGCCTAGAATGCTTTCTGCTGTTAAAAACTATTAAAGAGCGTCACCTGTTGTTAAAAACTAGCCTACAGCACCATCTGCTGTTAAAAACTAGCTTAGAGCGCCATTTGCTGTTAAAAACATGCCTAGAGCACCAACTGCTGTGAAAAACTTGCTTTGAGAGCCATCTGTTGTTAAAAATTTCCTTACAATAGTGCCATCTACTGTTAATACTAGCCAAAAGCACCAACTGCTGTGAAAAACATGCCTTGAGAGCCATCTGCCTTTAAAACCATACCTACAGAGCATCTGCTGTTAAACTAGCCAAGAGCGCCATCTGCTGTTCAAAACTAGTCGAGTGCGCTATCAGCTGTTAAAAACTATGCTAGAGCATTATCTGCTTTTAAAAACTAGTCTAGATCGCCATCCCCTGTTAAAAACTAGTGTAGAGCACCAACTACTTTCAAAAACTAGTTTAGTGCGCCATCTGCTGTTAAAAATTAGTCTAGAGTGCCATCTGCTGTTAAAAATTAGTCTAGAGTGCCATCTGCTGTTAAAAACTAGTCTAGAGCACCAACCGCTGTTAAAAAACTAGTCTAGTGCGCCATGTGCTGTTAAAAACTAGACTAGTGCGCCATCTGCTGTTAAAAACTATTCTAGAGTGCCATCTGCTGTTAAAAACTAGTCTAGTGCGTCATGTGCTGTTAAAAACCAGTCTAGAGCGCCATCTGCTGTTAAAAACTAGAGTGCCATCTGCTTTTAAAAACTAGGTGCATCATCTGCTTTTAAAAACTATTCTAGATTGCCATCCACTGTTAAAAACTAGTCTAGAGCACCAACTGCTGTTAAAAACTAGTCTAGAGCACAATCTGCTGTTAAAAGCTAGTCCAGAGTGCCACCTGCTGTTAAAAACTAAGCTAGAGCATCATCTGCTTTTTAAAACTAATCTAGATCACTATCTGCTGTTAAAAACTAACTTAGAACAACACCTGCTGTTAAAAACTTGCCAAGAGCACCATTTACTGTTAAAAACCAGGGCTGCATCCGAAACCGCATACTTCCATACTATATAGTACGCTAAAATCAGTATGCGAGCCGAGTAGTATGTCTGAATTCATAGAATTCGAAAATCAGTATGTGAGAAGTACCCGGATGACTTACTACTTCCGGTGAGATTCTGGAGTGCGCATCTCATGCACGCTGCGCTATCCCATAATGCTCCGCGAGAGAATTCATGAATGGAAGTGAAGCAACGCAACTGACGCAGGTAGGTCACGTGACCATGACAAAATGGTGGATGTAGTACGTCCGAATTCCATTCATACTTTTCACATTCATACTGTATAGAACGTACTTTTCCAACAGCCGAGTGATACGTTTAAATTCAAATGCAGTACCTACTGAGTAGTAGGCGGTTTTGGACGCAGCCTAGGTTAAAGCACCATCTGCTGTTAAAAACTAGGTTAGAGCGCCATCTGCTGTTAAAAACTAGGTTAGACCGCCATCTGCTGTTAAAAACGTGCCTAGAGCGCCATCTGCTGTTAAAAACAAGACTAAAGAGCCATCTGACTTTAAAAACGAGTATAAAGCGCCATCTGCTGTTAAAACTAAGCTCTGCATCAATTCAAGAGAAAATAGTGATGCATTCTGAAAATCTCTAGATCAATGCAAAATAATTTTCTTGTTTGCATTTTTACCACAGCTGTAATGTGCAGGCAGCATTGCTTTAGTGTACACTACAGAACTGTTGCAGTATTGCAGTACCAGGTCCGAGAGGCTGCAGAGTCCAGTCCTTAACATGTTTATTGTTTCGAGTGTAATCTGGCCTCAGTCGGCCTGCAGTGCTCTTCACATCTGCCTTCTTATGGTCCAGTCCTGGGGTTCTGGTGCAGTAATCGAGGAACCCGTGAGACGTCATGACCTCTGTGAAGCCCTTCTCACATCCGCAGACTCCATTCTGACAGAGAGAAACACAGTCACACGAGACATCATTATAGTGAAGGGCTGCGTGGTGACAGCTGGATACTCAAATGTGCTGCGTTTTTCATATGCAGACATACAGCTGTTAGGAGCATGGTGTTAGAGGCTGAGATGAGGTTGTAATATGTGATAATGAAGGTATTTACATCTCACCATAACTGGGTGAGACACTATCGTCAAGTCAGATGATACAAAACCGAGTAAATTCTGCATCTGTCAAAGCTCAGAATATAGCACTAAGAGATTTAACGTTAATTAATTAGGTAATTGACATACAGCTTATATTCTAAGAAAAACAATATCATTCACAACTAATAATTTATATATTATAATACATGCACTAGGTGATTTATGCAACATTAATTTATTAACAATTATTAATACAATTTTGAAGTGATCCAACAAATGTATTAGCATGTTATTTATTAACATTTTCTTGTTTAATGTATTATTATTTTTAAATTATTATTATATAATAAAATAATTTTGAGTTGTATGTTAATATTAAAATAGTTATGAAAATCCCATGCATTAAATTACAATAAAAGTAAAAAACTAAGATTTTTATAGTTGTTTAGTTCCAATAATAACAACATCGCCATTTATTATTGTTACTATAATGAAAATACAAATTATTTGAGTATTTATTCAAATAACTTTTTATACCATTTAGATCGTCTTTTTTTGTTTATTTATACATAGCTTATTTTTATTTTATTTAAAAAAAAATTAGTATTTCATTTTTTCTTTATTTGTTACAGTTCGATGCCAAGGCAACAGTTTTAAAATAATTGTTTTAAATTAAAATATTTATTGTTTGAACTCTATTTAAATTAGTAAACATTTTAAGAAATATTGCATCAGGAAAAATGGGCTTCTTTAAAAAAACACAATTACACTATATCAATCAATCAATCAATCAATCAATCAATCAATCAATCAATCAATCAATCAATCAATCAATCAATCAATCAATCAATCAATCAATCAATCAATCAATTATTCAATCAATCAAATCAATCAATCAAATACATTTTATTAAATAAATCAAAATACTGAATAAAATGTATATTTTATATTTTTATATTTTCTTAAATAATTACATAAATAAATAAATAATAATAATAAATAAATGGAATATTTTATTAAATAAATTGAACATTTTATCTCAAAATAATAATAAATAAATTTAATATTTTATATTTATTTATTAAATGAATAATAATTAAATAAAAATAAAAAGTGTATTTTATATTTTTTATATTTTATAAAATAAATAGATAAAAATAATAAATAAATTGTAAATTTGATAAAATAAATAAAAATAATAATCAATAAATTGTATGTTTCAATAAATAAATAAATAAATAAATAAATAAATAAATAGATAAATAAATATATAAATAAATAAATAAATAAATAAATAAAGTACATACATACATACATACATACATACATACAGTTGAGGTCAGAATTATTAGTCCCCCTGAATTATTTTCCCCAATATCTGTTTAACTGAGAGAAGATTTTTTTTAACACATTATTAAACATAATAGTTTTAATAACTCATTTCTAATAACTAATTTATTATATATTTGCCATGATGACTGTAAATAATATTTTACTAGATGTTCTTCAAGACACTTATATACAGTTTAAAGTGACATTTAAAGGCTTAACTAGGTTAATAAGGTAGGCAAGTTAGGGTAATTAGGCAAGTTATTGTATAACGATGGTTCGTTCTGTAGACTATCGTAAAAAAAAAAAAAAGAGAAAAAATTTCAAAGGGGGTTTAATAATTCTGACCCTAACTGTACATACATACAATTAATTTAGCTTCTTTCAGTTCTGGGTTGAAACAGGAACTTTATCTTGAACTGATTGTTAGTGAGATTGAGTTGATAATGTCTGAGATGGTGTGTGTGTGTGCGTGTGTGTGTGTGTCACCTGCGTGCAGAAGGAGAAGGGTTTGGTGCAGGGAGGTTGACACTGTCGTACCGCAGACGGTTGGTTAACAGCCATGCAGCCTCCTAATGCACAGAAACCCTCATTACATTTAGATTTTCTCATGACAGGCTACTTATTTAGAGAGAGAATGCGTTTCTCCAGCACACCGGTGACGTTGACTCCATCCGAGCGCTGACACCACACCAGTCTGCGGTTATGCCTCCATTCACCAGTCATCCATTCATAACTAAGACACGTTCCTCCTGCAAGAGCACATGAAAACACACTCTTCTGCTTTAGTGGCTCAACACCACTTCCTGTCTATCACTTCTCAGCCCTCAGAGCTATTTTCACAAACAGCCAGAGAGGAAATAACAGCTCTGCAAAACAACACTCTCCCAATGTCCAAGACCAAGAAAGAGGAGCAGGTTTATTTGCTCAGAACTAAAAGAAAGCAGGTAATGTAATTCTCAAGCATTGGCGGACTGCTACTGTATTTATTTATTATCATTTTTATCAACAAATTGATAGAGTGTGTACACTAGCAAATGTTATATTTGTGCCTTTGAAGCAGTCTTATGTTGCACAGGAATATTTTTGAGAGGGGTCCGGATGCAGACCTGGTGCAGTGCAATCTGAGCTGCATCCAATGCTTTTTAATGAGCTCACCAAACCCCACCCCTAACCCTACCCATCACAGTGACGTCACTCCATTGAGTGCGTTGTGTCTGACATTGCATCGCTGAGTGATGCAATCTCAGCTTGCATCATGAAAAGTGCATCCAGATACTATTGATATTTTTGGTAATTTGAGACCCCGTCCATTGATTTGTGTTCTCTGTAGAGGACCTTGTGTTTTCATGAATTTTCGTTAGATTTTTTGAGCTACTCTGTCAAATCCTGTTGTACTGTGCAGAGGACATCTTAGGCTTTTAATGAAATGTCTTTGATTGGCTGGCATGCTAGGAACCACTTCTTACACTACATCCAAAATGGCCAGCATACAGTTGAGCACATTTTTCGGAAAGGAGAGAGGCATGTAACATTTTGATTTTTAAATGTTTTTTACTATTATTATTACTAGGGGTGTAACAGTTCACAAAAATCACAGCTCCGTTCGATACGACATAGTGGTGTCGGTTCGGTATGTTTTCGATAGAGCAAAATAAGAAAAAAGCCAGAGAATTTCTCTGATTTTAATTTACCGGCCCTTTCTTAGCACACACTCCGCGACCCACTGAAAATGTTCCCACGACCCACTTTTGGGTTGCGACCCACCAGTTGAGAAGCACTGTTTAAAATGATTGCTGAGAGCTGCGTTTGGCGTTTTTAAATGCTTAATGAGTGCATGCCTCCTAATTCCATGCAGTTGGTGAACATTTTGCTGTGAAAACTGTCAATTTTAAAAAAATTGAAAAAAATCAATTTTATGCACTCCTAAATATATTTTGACGTCACATAGATAAAATTTCGGCCGCATATGTGACCAAAGCGGTTGCATATTCGAGCCCTGTCACATATATCCACAGCTATAAATGTACCGAAACTAAAGTGTTCCAAAACGCCAGAACCGCTGTTGGTTATAAGAGGATTGGATTAACATTACTAGCCATTTTGCGAGCTAGTGCAGCGTTTGCCTGACTGGAATAGTGTTTGGAGGTGGGCGGGGAAGGCAGCATGTTGCCCGTCACGTACTTTGGGATGCCTTGTTGAGCGTTGTTGCACTGAAAACATTATATTTTGTACACTTATTCTCTTTTATCTTTTTAGAGATTAGTTTGAATCGTTTGGTTTATAATGCGTACCGAACCGAAAGTCTCGTTCCGAACGGTTCAATACGAATATGCCTATCGTTACACCCTTAATTATCACATATGTATTTGTTGCAGTTAAGCATTTGACTTTTGCGAAAAAGATATGAGCAAAAAATGAAGAGCATGACTTTTTCACAAAACACAAAACACTGGAGAAGCAAACCTTGGCATGGCCGTGTCTCGTATGTCTGGCTGGGACAGGACTCCTGGTTCTCCTGCACCTGAGTGACCACAGCTCTGGATCGAGCCTGACGACCCCATGTCTCAAAGCTCCGCCCATCCAGACACATCAGCTGACATGAGCTCCACGGCGACCACTGGGTCAGGTGACACTCTCCTGAAATTACAATTCTCAATTAAGGCAAAGATCATTATCCGAAAGGCACTGATATTTTACATTAAACTGATCTAATGTATTTCCCATGGTTGCAGCTGGAAGGGTATTCGCTTTGTAAAACATTTGCTGGAATAATTAGTGGTTCATTCCGTTGTGGCGACCTATGAAATAGAGAATAAGTCAAAGGAGAATGAATGATCTAATGCAGGGGTCCCCAAACTCTGTCCTGGAGGGCGGGTGTCCTGCATATTTTAGTTCTAACCCCAATTAAACACACCTGAACCAGCTAATCAAGCTTTTTCCAGCTATACTAGAAACTTCCAGAAAGGTTTGCTGAAGTAAGTTGGAGTTAAACTATATAGGACACTGGCCCTCCAGGACCGAGTTTGGGCACCCCTGATCTGATGTAACATTTTGAATATTACGAAGTAATTAATTAAATGTAAAAATTTTCTTATCATTTATTTTTAAATTGATGTAGTTTTTATAAAATGATGTAAGTTAAATTAATTAAATGCTAAAATGTTAATTAAATATTAAATGCATAAATGTATATTTTTTTACAAATAATTTATACATTTATGTATTTAATTTTTCAAAATTATTTTAGGCTTTTTAACCTTTTTCAGATAGAACAGTAGAGAAGGAAACAGGACTGTGTCATGTCAAACAATAATGACAAGCTACAGTAAATATCGATACCATTTGTCTTACTATTTACTGCATCATTTACAGTTACATTTTTAAACCAGAACATTGTAGTCTAAACATAAAGTATTATGGAAATAAGTATTGAACACGTCTTGTTTTTTTTTTTTTTTTTACCTCAGAATTGTATAAACCAGATTTAGGTAAAAACCCAAACAAACAAAAAAATAAATAAAACAAAACAAAAAGATCTGAAATGAGTTATGTGAATGCAATAACACAAGGAGAAGTTTTTTTTTTAATGAGCTAAATTAGATGAATTCAATGTTAAAATGTTTAATGCATGAAAAAAATCAATATTTTACAAGTTCTTGAAAAATTTATGTAATTATTATAAAATCATTTATTTGATATACTGTATTTTTGAAAAAAAAAAGCCTTGAGCATAAGAGATTTACCATATTTAACAATTGTCTTTACTGTTAGTTGTAGTATTCATTTAAATAATAATAATAATAATAATAATAACAATAATAATAGTAATAATAATAATAATGATGTAATAATACTACTACTACTACTAATAATAATAATAAAAGTAGTGATGATATTCTATATAAACATTTCTATATAAACAAACTATTTTTTTCTAAACAGAAAGTTTAAATATTTATTTATAATTACATTATTAATGACTTAGGGCATACTCACACTATGCTATCTGAACTGTGCCCAGGCCCGTTTCCAGGATAGTTTGAGAAGTGTGAGTGTTCTGAATTGGGCTCAGGCACGGTTTACTTGGCCGGCCCTGGCCCAGTTGGAAGAGGTGTGCCAGAGTGCGGTTTACTTGGGCTTTGGCACAGTATGCTTGTAGTGTGAGTGCAAAGTCCGCCTGAGCCCGAAACTGAAGATGAGACGTAATGATGAGACGAAAAATGTCGTAGATTATTAAAGACGCAAACCCCTCACTGCAGTTACAGCTGCACCTTTAGCAAACCTCATAATTCCTGCAGCACGAGCACTTTATGACTGTTTATGAGCGTTAAAAGTGGCTGATCTGTACGGCGTAATATTTGACTGCTTGTCACCGCATCCCAAATGACTAAAAAGATATAACTAAAGAAATCTCCACTGTGCTGGGTGAAAGCACTTCTTAATAAACAGCACATCATCGATGATGTAAGCGTGCTCTGGCCCGAATATAATGTAAGTGCAGGCCGACAGAGGAGATGGGAGGGGGGACAAGCATGCTTTGGCACACTTCAAGGCAACTGTACATAGTGTGAGTACACTCTTAATTGTCAGTAATGACTTATATAATGCATCCTTAGTTATAGAATTTTTTAAAATTATATTAGCAATAATTAATATGATGAAAATGTCATATTATTTGATGCTGTTTTATGCTGTGCTGAATTATGTTATTAAAGTGATAGTGCAGCTAAAAAAAAAAAACTCCATTTAGTTCGTAGTCTTTTTCCTGTTAAAGACAAAATATATTCTAAAAATAGTTCATTTCTATTGTAACTATCCTTTTTTAACTGAGGGAAAATGTATTAAGCATTGTCTATTTTTCATGTTAAAGATGCACACCTGGACAAGGGACTGTGCAGGGCTGCAGAAACTCAATCTCACTGACTTTACTCTGTAAATGTCCAACACACTTCTCATCCTCTACAGGTACGGGCTGAGGAGGACCTGAAAGAGAACCCCAGTGCAGCACACATGACCTTTCCCTGCGACTTACTCCTTCGCCACAGTCAGCGCCCTGAAAACACACAGACAAACATTCAGATTCAGCAACAGCACATCTGAAGATTCATGGAAACGTGCGGCAGATCTAAACAGTGACGGTTGGTTATTTTGTAATGCCTCTCCTGTGTGCCGCTGAAATATCTCTGGTCATTTTTCTACATTACTGTCATTCTGAAAGTGTGGGTGGAGAGAAACGCTCTAGATTTAACTGCAATATAATTGGCTCGTGATAGTGTGATGGAGCCTCCGCATGGGCTTCTGTCCAACACATCAATGATGCACTGCCAGAGACACTTTTTGATCGCCTGAAAGAAAGTCGCTCCACTCACATGCTTTTATACTGCTTACAAAAGTCTATTACGTCTTCTATAATAATACTACTAATAATAAATGTTTAATTAAATATAACAATATGAAAGTAATATATAATAATATTAATATTAACAAAACACGTTTAAATATAACAGTATTAAATAATATTAATAATAATAATAAACACTTTTAATGAAGTATAACACTATTAAAGTAATATATACTACTACTACTAATAATATTAACAATAACCATGTTTAAATATAAAAATATTAAATAATAATAATAATAACAACAACAAACATGTTTAATTACATATAACAATATTAAACTTATAAAAACAATAATAAAAGTAATAAACAAGTTTAATTAAATATAACAATCTTAAATAAAATAAAAATAATAATAGCAATAAACACGTTAATTTAAATAAAAAAGAAAAAAATAATAATAACAACAATAAACATGTTTAATTAAATATGACAATATTAAATAAAATTATATTTAATAACAATAATAACAATATTCATTCATTCATTTATTTCTTGTCGGCTTAGTCCCTTTATTAATTCGGGGTTGCCACAGCAGAATGGACCACCAACTTTTTACAGAGCAAATTTTTACAGAGCGGATGCCCTTCCAGCCGCAAACCATCTCTGGGAAACATCTACACACACATTCTCACACACACTTATACACTACGGACAATTTAGCCTACCCAATTCACCTGTACCGCATGTCTTTGGACTGTGGGAGAACCGGAGAACCCGGAGGAAACCCACGCGAACGCAGGGAGACCATGCAGACTCCACACAGAAATGCCAACTGAGCCGAGGATCGACCCAGCGACCTTCTTGCTGAAGGGCGAAAGCACTACCTACTGCGCCACTGCGTCGCTTAAAAATAATATTAATAAAAATATATTATAATAAATTATAATAATAATAATAAACAAGTTTAATTAAATATAATAATAATAAAAAATATATAATAACATAATAATGATAATAATTGTTAATAGTGTTATTAGTATTATTAGTATGTCATTAATATTATATATTATTTTATTTAAGATTATTATATTTAATTAAACGTGTTTATTATTATTATTATTATTTATATTATATATTTTTATTAATATTATATTATTATTGTTAATAAATATCATTTTATTTAATAGTGTTATATTTAATAAAACATGTTTATTTATGTTTGTTGTTATTATTATTATTATTATTATTATTATATTTATGTTTTGTACTTTATAATACTGTAATACTATAAATAATATTGTACATTTTACAGCATTTTTTTTTACAGTTTATGCTCCGTATTTTTCGTTACTGCACCAGTAATACCTCAACCCTGCAGGGGCTCCAGTCTGCCAGTGTCCAGCTGTAGCAGGGCCTGATAGGACAAGGCCGAGTTTGGGAGAGCTGAGATGGACATGGTCGACCTCCTTCACTATCTGCCTGCAGAACTACCCTCGACCGAGACCTCTGACCTGTATGATAAACACACACACAGTCCAGGCTGAGCACTGTATGTATGCATGCTGAATTCAATAAGCGCTGTGGGGGAAGAGTTTACTCTTGGGACTGGCAGAGCCTTGAATTGAGATAAATGAGGCTGATAAATAGTTTAATTAAGCCCCTAACAATAGCTCAGTTCAAGGAAGCATGACTGAACTCTCAAGGGTGTAAACATACAGGTGTGTGCTGACTTTACACGGGTATTAAATACATTTTTACAGGCTAACTTTGAAAGAAAAATGACACTTATGATTTTAAATAAATGTACATATTTATAATAACATTTATATATGTAATTATTGATGATAAAAATATGAGGATTAATAGTAATAATAGTTGTTATTGTCGTTTCTGTTGTTATTTAGACCCCGTTTACACTAATGTGTTTTCGTTTTAAAACGCATAAGTTTTGCTACGGTTACGCCAGCCGTCCACACTACGCCGGAGTTTTTGAGCGCCGAAAACGGAGCGTTTCGAAAACGCTGGAGAGGCCGTTTTCATTCTAAAACGCTGCTGCTCCGTCTCAATGTGGATGGGGGAAAACGGAGACATCTGAAAACGGAGGCAGGGCTGCCGACATCTGATTGGGGCTTTTCCTCAATATTAAGTAGCCTATACACACACAGTTCAGTCTCACATCCTCTCCCTGTAAGTTTAGACTTTGCAAGTTTGATATGGAAAACAGACCCTCGAGGACATGTCCGGTAAATCTTCAAATGGAACAGAACAGTGTACTTTATAACCTTATTCACATCATCCTTACTACGTTGTTTCACTTTCTCAACAATAAAATGAAAACATGATTTAAGGACTTGCCTATTTTCATTTTGATATTAACAACTTAACAGACAGCAGAAATGCTGAGGTGTCGTGCTGCATCTTCACTGTATGCATATTTATAATAAAACAGAATCTATATAACATCACTGCCTCCTTTCATTTTCACTGACAATACGAAACGTATCCTCTGCTTTGCTGAATGTTAGTTTTTAATAATCAATAATAGCCATTATGAAAGTAGAACGCACAATAAGTTTATACATTATAGGAAATAAAGGCAAGCGATCAGTCAATATACAGAATGTACGTGGTTACATTAATTATTAACTTATCTTTGTGCTCAGCCAAAACACGTTACCTGTGAACAAGTAATCTATTCAAAAGACCAAAAGTCGGGGAATATGTCGTAAGATATAGACAACAAGACTAATTAAATATCACGTTTAGCAAATATAGTGAGATTAGATCCAGCGGGAGACGCTTGATGAGCAGTCCGACCAGCACAGCTCTCATCTGGGTGTAAATGCTGCAGCACTTGCCCAAGAGTGTGTGTGTGGTCACGTGATGTGCATTTTCAGCGTATTGGTGTGGACGGAGAGCTGTTCAGAAACGCTGGGTAAAACGCTAGTGTTGAAGCGGATCGTTTTCATTCTACAACGCTGTTTTAAAACTAAAACGCACTAGTGTAAACGGGGCCTTAGTTGTTATGTTTTTTCATTCACAATTGGTATAAAAAAGTTTTATTGTTATATTATTTTAATTATTAATAAAAATAATTAATAATACTAACATTAAAAAAACTTTTTAAAAAGTACAAAAAAATTAAAGGGGGGCTAATAATTCTGACTTCAACTGTGTGTGTATGTATGTATATATTATTTGATATATATATATATATATATATATATATATATATATATATACATACATACAGTTCTTTATCAAAAGGAAATACCTGAAATGGTCTTCACTTCACAGGTGTGCCCTGTCAGCTTTAATAAGTGGGATTTCTTGCCTTTAAAAATGGAGTTGGAGGAGGTGTGATGGTGTGGGGGTCCTTTGCTGGTGACAGTGTTGGGGATTTATTCAAAATTGAAGGCTTACTGAACCAACATGGCTACCACAGAATCTTGCAGCGGCATGCTATTCCATCCGGTTTGCATTTAGTTGGCTTATCATTTATTTTTCAACAGGACAATGACCCCAAACACACCTCAAGGCATTGTTAGGGCTATTTGAAAAAGGAGAGTGATGGGGTGCTGCACCAGATGACCTGGCCTCCACTGGACCTGAACCCAATCGAGATAGTTTGGGGTGAGCTGGACCGCAGAGTGAAGGCAAAAGGGCCAAGAAGTGCTAAGCATCTCTGGGAACTCCTTCAAGACTGTTGGAAGACCATTTCAGGTGACAACCTCTTGAAGCTCATCAAGAGAATGCTAAGAGTGTGCAAAGCAGTAATCAAAGCAAAAGGTGGCTACTTTGAAGAACCTAGAAAATGACATATTTTTAGTTGTTTCACACATTTTTGTTATGTATATGATTCCACATGTGTTAATTCATAGTTTTGATGCCTTCTGTCAGGGTTCTGCCACTCTGATCTTGTAAATTCTTGTTTTGGCGGCAGATCTCTGACACTACTCGTGTCTGGTCCTGTTTCTGTCTCTGTGTGCGCGCGCGCCGTCGTGGGTGTACGCAGAGTGTGCGCGCTCCTGCTTGACGCAGCCGCGTGCGCGCTCTGCGTCCCTTAGACGCGTGCGCTCTTGTACTCGTGTTTGTGTTTTCGTCTGTCAGCAGCATGGTGTTTCATTCCCAGCGTCTCAGTCTTGTTGGTTTCGGTTTTGGTCGGCGCTGGGATGAAGCATGCATGCTGCATATGTGAGCGCATGGTGAGTTTTCATTCATCGTGTGCTCGTGTCTTGCGTCTTTTGTCAAAGCACGTGGCTCGGTGTTTACATTGTGGTCACGTGCTTTTGTCGTGTGCTTCAGTGTTGTGTTATGTGAGCGCATGGCTTGTATTGTCTCTCTGTGTCATGCGCTCTCCCGTCTATTGTCTAGTCCCACCCTCCTTGTTTACTCCTTATTAGTTTGTCATGTTCACCTGTGTGTCAATTTACTTTTTGCTTTATAATCCCCCTCATGTTTTCAGTCCTTTGCGAGTTCGTCATCATATGTTGTCGATGTTTACCTGTCTTGCTGTGTCCAGTCCAGTCCTGCCTTGTCGTGCCTGCCCAGTCAAGTTTGTTTGTTTGTTTGTTTGATTTATTGTTTGTTGTAGTAGTGTTTTCCCCCTTGGGGTTGTTTATTTTTGCCTTTTATTTATTTTTTAATGAATAAATCCTACTTCACTCTGCGCTTGGGTCCTTGCTCCTTTTTCCCTTTACCGGAACGTGACAGCCTTCAGTGTGAATCTTCAATTTTCATAGTCATGAAAACAGTTTAAATGAGAAAGTGTGTCCAAACTTTTGGTCTGTACTTTATATGTATCTGTATTCTGTAGTTAGTATCAAAGCTGAAACTAATCTAACAAAATAACTTGGTTACCATCAAAATATTATGCAAACATAGGAATAAAGAGAAAAGAAGAAATCAAGAGAACCATAAAATTATTATATAAAATTGAAATTTTGTAGTTTGCAATTTGTTTTTGCAACATCTCCTTTGAATTGAAATGCATCAGATTCAGATGCACCAGAATGATAACATTTAAACTGGGGATCCTACTTTGGCCTCCACAGGTGTGTGAGCACTCAGACCAGGCGGACCACTCAGTAATCAGGCAATTAACAGGACACGCCACTTCACAGGGGGCTGAGAGCTTTCCACGTGAAGGACCCAACTAGAAAAAGAGCAGAAAACAGTCAAACATCTGCATTCCTACAGGGGATTCCACTGAGAAAAGCACAGTCACCTCTTTGCACAGGCTGAGCTCCACCAGTTTCCCATCACTGCGCACACAGTTCAGGAGTCGAGTCTTAATCCCACGGCCACACACTGCGCTTTCACTGAGCTGACAGCTGCTCCAGTCTAAAACACACACACACACACACACACACACACACACACACACACGTTCAGCTGTGACAGACAAAATACTGCTTCTTATTCATGTCTCTGCTCATCTGAATCGAGAAAACTCAATAGCCTTGTTATATGATCTCATTTATGACCACTGTTTAGTCATACTGAACTTAAAGCGGATCTATTACAAAATCGTGGTTCGTTCACTACAGTTGCTGGACTTTCTGCATACCAGACACTAACACTTGAATGATTTATAAAAGATGAATCACTGTCTGAAAGTCTGAGGTTAGGCATGGATATAAACTCCACCATCATGATTTTCTTTTCTATCTTTTTTTATTAAGTTTTTTGGGGGTTTTCTGGAAGGTTGACTTTTATGCATTTTACATTATGCTGTATTATTATAGGGAAAATCAAAGTGACAAAATTTTTTAAATTACAACGAAAATGACAAAAATACAACAATTTTTTTTTTTTGAAAAATACAAAAATATATTAAATGCTCTCCGGAGCATGAACTGATACAGTTTCCTCAATTGCATTACCCTAGTCTTTAATTTTGGGGCACTAATTGATTTCCAGTTTCTTAAAATAATCCTTGTTACTTCCCTCAAGATAAAACAAAAACCCCTTTTATATATACAGACCTTTCCGGAAAATTACCGGCAACTTTCCGGAAAGGTCTGTTTGTGTGAACAGGCCCTTTTTGAAAATACTGATAAATAAGTTACGTACTTTTGGCTCCATAATTTGCGATCTCCATAAATGTATATAGGGCTACGTTTTCAGAATGTTGGAAAAAGCAACACACTGTGAACATGTATTAGCACCAGTTGCTGTTTGCTTTTGACATCTGATTTAACACTTTGGACCCAGAATCTGAAATGTGTGACATCTTATATGACAAGCAGATACAGTCCATAATGAGAACAGAGGACATTCTGACAATCAGGGTACATGTATTTGTCACAGTACCTGAGTAAACGTAGGAGTATTTGAGACATGCCATGTTGGTGCAGGGTTTAGTCTGGTTGAGTTCAGGACAGGTGTGATCTTCTTCAGGCCACCTCAAAACACTTCTGCTCCTCCAGCTCAAATCTCCATCGTTACAGTCCTGCAGGAATGAACACATCAAGCAAACACACGATACACAATCCTGCATATTAAAACACTGCAGATTCATTGTATACAGTTAATGTGACTAGACTTTTTCTCTTTTAGGTAAGTTAGAATTATCAAATTTGTTTCTGTTATGCTTAAAATAGAGAGAGAGAGAGAGAGAGAGAGAGAGAGAGAGAGAGAGAAGAGAGATGCATTTACAACAGAAGTCTAAACAGGATTTAAAAGCAGAAATATTTTTATATACAGCAGCTTCAAATAGGGTAAATCTGTTTTAATGCCTGCACTGTTTTAAGTGTTTATGCCTGCGCACACCAGAGTGATTTTTACTCACGATTATCATCAGTATTTTCCAAGACATTATTCCAACCCAGGCTCATTCCGATTATGTACCCCTATAAACATTTCTGGAGAGAGCAAAATACATCCCAGGATGTACTTTTTTTGCAGTTTTTGTTTTCGCCACCAGAGGCCGCTGTGTACGCTTTTCCAGATCTCAAATCTGATCTCAAACAACGCCTGCTTGTCTCACATAAATCTACCGGAGGCAATTGTCGACTGACTGATTTATGACCGACAGACCTATCCCCCACCCTCCCCCTTCCCTAAACCCAACCAATAGTATTTTAAAAAGCATCGATTGATCTGCCCACCCCCTTTCCTAAACTCAAATGCAGTGTTTTGAAATGCAATCCAGAAAAAAAGCCCCCAGATTTTGACCACGTTTTCCGATTTTACCACACTCTCACCCTGTTATTTATCTTGTTTATGTAACCCCGCTGGTCCAATGCCACCTGACCCACTCCGAGCTGGTTTCGAAACGGCAACCTTTCGCTTGGGAGTCGGTTGCTCTAACAAGGAGGCTAAAGACCATGGCCTGTAGCATCTGTCGCTAGAGCACCTTTAGAGGTCAGAGGAGTGAGGTTTACCTGCACAGCACACACTAGCTGGCCTCCGTTACATTTATTTAATTTTTTAGCTTTAGTTTTTGTCTTACCTGCTTTCTGGAACCTTTCTTCATCGGACTCGAACCCCCTTGTCGTGGTCAAGTCCACTCTGCATTTTAAGTGTGCCGACATACATGTCGAGCTACCGGATAAACTGAGAACAGTGGAAAAGCCGTCCATATGTAGGTAAGCAGTCAGCCATTAAGCGAGAAAAGGAACGGTGTGATACCGCCCCGTAGCTTTCATTTTAAAGATGAAATGCAGCCATTCGTAGCTCTAGCTACATAATTTGTGATCTCCAGAAATGTATATAGGGCTACGTTTTCAGAATGAGCCTAAGTTGCATTTTTCAGCATTCGTACACAAGCTGATGAGCAAAGTGAATGTGTCTGATTTTAGCTGGTGCTTAATGGCAAACAAAAGGTGGTGCTACAAATCTAATGAGGCTCGACACACTTTTGGTCAAGAGGCATTAAACATCAGTGATAAGGGTGAGCAAAAAACGTGCACAGGCATTAACCAGCAAACTTTCTAAATGACTAACATTGATTTTTAGGGATATTTCACCCAAAGGTTTAAATTTAATGAGCTTTTTTTCACCCAACAGATTTTGAGGAATGTTAAAAACTGATAGCTATGCTTTGCAGAAAAAAATACAATGGAAGTCTATGGCTGCCGGTTTGAAACCTTCTTCAAAATATCTTTTCAACAGAAAAAAGAAAGTCAAACAGTGTTGGAACATGTGGAGGATCAGAACATGATGATATCATTTTCATTTTTGGGTGGACTACCCCTTTAAATAAGGTAAAAATCAGCATTGTATTAAGTTGAATCCTCTAGAAATCAATATTTCTTAATTACAGTATGGTTGTGTTTACATCATGCTTTTTAAAGCCAAGCACAACAGCAGAATCTCAAGGACTAAATAAGTTTCTGAAATGCTGAAGGAATAAAAACTTTGCATTTATAAAACTGTAACAAGCCCATCATTACAAACTTGGCTCCATCCTGACATTCATTATCCATTTGTTAGCCACTATTCAGCTATTCAACCATCTGTCAGGAAAGTTTCAGAAACTGACCACACTACATCTGGTCCACTGGCTCCACTCTGATGTCACACAGTGGGCGGGGCATGGCAGCAGGCAGGTCTCAGCTGTGCTTGGTCGTTCCTCCAGATCGCACAGCGAATTATCAACAACCTCATCCTGGTTCTCTCCGCCCCTTTTCAAGCAGCTTTTGGTCAGAGACAAAAATACTATTGCTTATTATTCAGGATTCAGACGCTTTCATGGACAGTAGATTAAAAGACTTTCAAGGACTTTTTAAAGCAGCATTAATTTTAAATCAGGCACCTTTGTAATTCACACCTCAGCATATGTAGTTCCATGAAAGTCCTTACTGCACTTAGCAATCCACTTACGCTTCATATTTACATTTTAAAAATGTCATTTTTAAACATTTTGATCATTTTAAAATGTCATGTTCAAAGAACTTTAATGAGATCTGTTGCATTCAATACTAGTGATATACAAATACGGTTTCTGATATTGGTAACATTTGCATTATTTATCAGCGTTTTTGACCCAGATTTAAATGTAAAATCTGTAATAATTAATAGTTAAAATATCTAACTAATAATTTCTTAGTGTTTTTGTTCTGTTACATTTAATTCAAACACTTTCCTGGACCTGTGTCTGTTTTTAAGTACTCTCCAGGCCTTGAATCCATATGTCTTAAATTCAAGTAATTTTAAGTACTTTTAAGAAACGTGGAAACCATTATTATTATTATTATTATTTATAATATTATTATTATTATCATCATTATTATTATTTTTATCATTCATTCATTCATTTTTCTTCAACTTATCCCTGATTTATCAGGGCTTGCTACAGCAAAATGAGCCTCCAACTATTCTGCCTTATGTTTTATGCAGCGGATGCCCTTTCAGCCACAACCCAGTACTGGGAAACACACATACACTCTCATATTCACAGACACGCTCAAACAGAATGGCCAATTTAGTTTTCAGAATTAGATTTTTTTCACCAATAGCACATGTTTTTGAACTTGTGGAAGAAACCAGAGCACCCGGAGGAAACCCACGCGAACACGGTGAGAACATGCAAACTCCACAAATGCCAACTGGCCCAGATGGGACTCGAATCAGCAACCTTATTGCTGTGAGGCGACAGTGCTAACCACTGAGCCACAGTGCCTCCTTTATAATAACAATAATGTGAAAAATCTAAATCTGTGCATTTATGCAAGGAAAATGTTACCAAGTCAGGGTCAGAGAACAAACATGACTATAAAAAGGTGTTGTTCAGTTACAACACTACCCACAGTATCCCATCATCCCCTTTGACCTCACTTCAGTCTGAAGGGCAGAGTTACGACCTCACTTATCTTTAAGAAGCAGAGTTATGACCCCATGAATCTGCTTGGCACTGCTGTGACCTCCTCTCGCTTTTGAACGCTGACTTATGACACTATTTTGCTGTGTGACACACACAGGATTTGTTCTATCATAGAACCAGAAGTAAAAGACAATATATTCTGCTGTTTGGTGGCAGAATAGGGACATTTTGGGGTGAAAAAAAGGAGATATGATGAAACTAGTTCAATTTTTTAAATATAAAAACATTTGAAAGACTTGAGGAAAGGGGAAAGAAAAGAAGAAGGGAATAAATGAAAAAGTAGAGTACATAAATAAAAGTATGGGCAAATCAATTAAAAGGGAAACGAGAGAAAAAAGAAAAGACAAAAGAAAAGCAAAACAATAAATAAAACGGAACAAATGCAGAAAGCCAGGATTTGGAAAATGCTGTAAAAAAAATGAAAGGAAGTGAAAATGTAAAGGCAGGTAATGTGTGAAAGTAAAGTCGAAAAACACAAAAGCAAAAGAAAGACAATTCATTTGGAAGAAAAAGGAAATATATTAAGTGAAAATATAATCAGTGATCTGTTTTATCAAAATACAAGAGGTAAATACATGTATTTTGCTGTTCTTTGGCAAAATGACAAAATGATGTACAGTTGAAGTCAGAATTTTTAGTCCCCCTGAATTATTAGACCGCTTGTTTATTTTTTCCCTAATTTCTGTTTAACGGAGAGAAAGTTTTGTCAACACATTTCTAAGCATAATAATTTTAATAACTCATCTCTAATAACTGATTTATTTTATCTTTGCTATGATGACTGTAAATAATATTTGACTAGATGTTTTTCAAGACACTTCTGTACAGCTTAAAGTGACATTTAAAGGCTTAACTAGGGTAATTTGGTTAACGAGGCAGGTTAGGGTAATTAGGCAAGTTATTGTATAACAATGGTTTGTTTGTAGACTATCGAGCAAAAATATAGCTTTAAGAGGCTAATAATTTTGTCCCTAAAATGGTGTTTAAAAAATTAAAAATTGCTTTTATTCCAGCCAAAATAAAACAAATAAGACTTTTTCCAGAAGAAAAAATATTATCAAACATACTGTGAAAATATCCTAGCTCTGTTAAACATCATTTGGGAAATATTAAAAAAAAGAAAATTTTTTTAAAGGGGGCTAATAATTCTGACTTCAACTATATATATATATATATATATATAGTTGAAGTCAGAATTATTAGCCCCCCTGAATTATTAGAGCCCCTGTTTATTTTTTTCACCAACTTCTGTTTAATGGAGGAAAGATTGTTTCAGCACATTTCTAAACATAATAGTTTTAAAAACCTATTTCTAATAACGGATTTATTTTATCTTTGCCAAGATGACAGTAAAAATTGATATTTTTCAAGACACTTCTATACAGCTTAATGTGACATTTAAAGGCTTAACTAGGTTAATAAGGTGAACTAGGCAGGTTAGGGTAATTGGGCAAGTTATTGTATAACGATGGTTTGTTCTGTAGATTATATAAAAAAAAATTGCTTACAGGGGCTAATAATTTTGTCCCAAAAAGGTTTTTAAAAAAATTAATAACTGCTTTAACAAATAAAACAAATAAGACTTTCTCCAAAAGAAAAAAAAAATATTATCAGACATACTGTGAAAATTTCCTTGCTATATTATATATTCCTTGCTAAATTATATATATTTGTATTAATAATATAATATAATACAATATAATATAATATAATATAATATAATATAATATAATATAATATAAAATATAGTATAAAATATAATATATAACATTACAAATATTTATATAGAAGCATAAACAAGAAATGTGTACATTATAGTCATGCAAACATTTCTATATACAAAAATATACTTAGTACATACAAATATATTTTGTAAATATGAACTTTTAATTTGGGTGCAATTTTAATCACTTTACAGCACTCTTTTAACAATTTGCTCATTGAAAATTTCATTCTGATGATCGTACCGGATTTTGGAGGTCCGGAAACCCTCTCCACAGACAGGCTGATGGTTTGGTCTAATGTTGGTGAGGTTATTCTGAGGATTTATGATGCACACAGACCAGGATTGCACTTCCCAAATATACTGACTGCAGTCAGAGTAACAGGGCAGTACCTCAGACACCTGATCACACAGAAGACATGCAGCTGCGCTTTTAGTTAGAACACTACATGAATGTCTCAAGCAGAAAATAAAATACTGTTGTTTAAATCAAACACAGTTGTCTAAAGCACTCACCTGAGCCTTTGTAGAGATCCACATCAGCAGAACATGAGCAGCAGCAACACCACACACAGAAACAGAAACACAGGAAGAGGAAGAAGAAAATGAGTGGAGAGGGAAAGTTAAAGCAAATAAAAAATAGAAAAGGAAATGACACGAGGAATAGAACAGAAAAAGGAAAACCAAAGGAGTTGGAAAATGACAAGGAAAGGAAATAAAACAAATGCATGAATAAAAAGAGACGAGAGAATCGAGAAGCAGAAATTAACAACACGAAATATAAAAGTAAAGGAAAAAGAATAGAAGAGTGAATCGTAAAGTAGACAGTGAGAAAGTGAGAAATTAAAAAGGATAATAGAGGTAAAAATGGTGAAGAAAACAAACAAAAAGTGGTATCAATGCAGAAAACAGATAAAAAAGGAAAAGGAAAGGAAAAAAAGAAAATGAAAAAATGGGAGGAAAGAAAATGGAAAACCAAAGAAGTTGGAAAATGACAAGGAAAGGAAATTAAAGAAATACATAAATCAGAAATTAACAGTAAAATAAAAAGTTAAAGTAAAGGGAAACTAATAGAAGAGTGAATGGTAAAGTAATGAAACAGGAATAAAAAAAGGAAAGAAAAGAAAATGAAAAAAAAATGGTGAAGAAACAAAAAGAACAGTGGTGTGAATGCAGAAAAATTGATATAAAAGGAAGAGGACATTTAAAAAACATAAAATGGAAAGGAGACAAGAGGATCAGGAAGCAGAAATGAACAATACAAAGTTAAAGGAAAAAGAATGGAAAAGCGAATTGTAAAGTGAAACAGGAAATTAAGAAACGTGGTGTTTTTGGTGAAGAAAAATGGTGAAGAAACAAAAAGAACAGTGGTGTGAATGCAGAAAAATTGATATAAAAGGAAGAGGACATTTAAAAAACATAAAATGGAAAGGAGACAAGAGGATCAGGAAGCAGAAATGAACAATACAAAGTTAAAGGAAAAAGAATGGAAAAGCGAATTGTAAAGTGAAACGGGAAATTAAGAAACGTGGTGTTTTTGGTGAAGAAAAATGGTGAAGAAACAAAAAGAACAGTGGTATAAATACAGAAAAATGGATATTAAATAAAATATTTAAAAAAATGAGAAATTGGGAGGAAAAGTAATTAGTAAAGAAAAGAGGAAATAAAAGTAAGAAAAAGATGAGAAAAGCAAATCGGAAAAAGTAAACAAAAACAAAAGGAATTGATTTTTACGAAGAAAATCAATGACAAAGAAAATAAATGGGAAGGGAAGTGGAATGTGGAAAAGAAATTAGAAAAGGAAATGAAAGAATAATGGAAATGAGTGAATATAAAAGCGAAGCAAGGAAATAAAACGACAAATGGAAAGCAAATGGAAAGAATGGATAAAAGGAAAGGAATGGGAAAAGAGAAATAAATAGAAAAGGACATGGAATAAATACAGAAAAACTCAAAGTAGGGGGATCAGGAAATTAAAAGTGAGAAGAGAAACAGGAAAAGAAAGGAAAACGAAAGATTTTCCATTAGTTTTGATTGGAACATGTTTCCCTCGCCGTAGATTGGTTATTTACTGATTCGTTTATATGAGGGAAACTGAGCTGAAGGAAATGCTTGCTGACTCCAGTTCAGATCCATGAAACTTTAATGCAGCTTGACCTGCCCTGATGGAATATAAAATAAAGAGAGTGAAATAAAAGGAGGGAAAAGAGCAAAAAGCAGACATGGGGAAGAGAGGTTCGGTCCCTGGAGCTCGTCATCCTCACCAGGCTTGTTTTACCAGTACAGAATAAGGCTAAAAACATAACGGAAACGACTGAAAGTGGAGAGACTGGAGAAGACCACCAAAGGCTGGCCAGATCAATAATTTATCATGTAGTGCATGCACACACACACAGATGCAGATACAGTATTTATGAATATATCAACACATATAATTTAAACACAGACATGCATAATTGAACAGCGTGCCATTTTGTTGGATTAAATGGACAAAGAACCATATTAATCAATCTAATTGGCGTAATTGGTGTGCACAAATATTTGAATATTGTTTTTACATTAATGCTTATTTACATTTATTTCAGTTTGCTCTGTGCACTGTATCATTGTTTTCTGTTATGTACTTTAATTATTTGAACATTTTGTTTCATCTGAAAGCAAAAAACAACATTATGCATACAAGTTTAGCTTTAAAATGTATTTAAAAACACAGAAAAAATGATGTTTGATTAAAAATAACATCTTAAGTTACATTTACTTACATTAACATATCTTAAATTTAAATAAATATATAATTCAAACACAAACATGCATAATTGGACAGCCTGCCGTTTTGATAGATTAAATGGACTCAAACTATTATCAATCAATCAATGCAGTTAGCAGTGTGTGCAAATATTTGAATACAATTTACATGAATAATTATTCACATTTTCTTTCAGTTTGCTTTGCACAATATTTATGATAATTTTAAACGTCTTTATATGTTTGAACAGTTTTTTCTTTCATTTTTTCTATCAAAAAAAGCACAAAAAAGACATTAAGCATGCAAATTTAGCTTAAAAATGTTTTTCAGAAACACAATATTGTTGGATTAAAACATTGCTTTTGTTAGTATTAATAATTTATTATTTAAACTTTTGAAATTACATTTACTTAAATAAACAAGTCTTAATTTTAAATAAACATAAATTGTTTATTTTTTTATAGCAGACATATTCAAATTTAATATTTGTGAAAAAAAAAAAAACTCTTAATCAAATACTATTGATGGCCTTTCAATAATTTCATTTGCCAGAACAACTCGTATCACCTACTTCGAATGTTATCACTTGATTGAATGGGCTTTATCAGTGGTTATCAGCTGATAGATATGGGCCATAGGGGTCTTCTGTGCCTACCGGTAGGTTTAAAAGGCTGTTATTATCCATTCACATGGCTAATCAGCTATACTAATAGAGAAGACTCCAGGGGCCTCATGTATGAAGAATTGCGTTAAAATCATACTAAAACAATGTGTATGCACTAAAAAATTCAGGTGTATCCCACACATATTCTCTTTGTACATCCGAATTAACGTGAAACTGAGCGCAAGTGCACAAGCTCAAAACTTCTCCCTGCCTCCTCCCCCGTATGAATATGCTAATGACTCTACTTTGGCAAAACCAAATGAAAAAGCAATGGCAAAAGCAAGAAAAAAGAGAAACTTTGAACAGAATATGAATTGGAGATGCTGCTTTCGGAGATAGACCAGAGAAAAAGTGTGTTATTTGCAAGTTTGTCCTCCAGAATTAATATTCATTCATTCAATCATTTTCTTGTCAGCTTAGTCCTTTTATTAATCCGGGTTCGCCACAGCGGAATGATCCGCCAACTTATCCAGCAAGTTTTTACGCAGCGGATGCCCTTCCATCCGCAACCCATCTCTGGGAAACATCCACACACACATTCACACACACACACACACACACACTCATAAACTACGGACAATTTAGCCTACCCAATTCACCTGTACTGCATGTCTTTGGACTGTGGGGGAAACTGGAGAACCCGGAGGAAACCCACGCGAAGGCAGGGAGAACACTACAAACTATCTTTGAGCCATGCAACATCGCACAAACTCCACACAGAAACGCCAACTGAGCCGAGGTTCGAACCAGCGACCCAGCGACCTTCTTGCTGTGAGGCGTCAGCACTACCTACTGCGCCACTGCCTCGCCCCAGAATTAACGACAAAAGAAAAAAATAGAGTGGTAAAGTTTAGTTGACTCGGTTGACGCAGTTAGGTCTGAACATCGCACTGAGTGAATTAAAAAAGAAATGGTCCGATGTAAAGGTGTAAAATTTTGTAGTGTCTATATTAGCGTGAATGGCGTAGTTGGTAAAGCATATGGCAACAAGTTTTGACACGTTCGAGCATAAACTCGGTTCGAATCACTGTCTGATGAACTCATTCTCCTTTTTTCCCCCATTACACATTATATTTTGCCTACTCCACATCACGAGGAAGACAAGTAATAATCATTAATAAGTGTGTGTATTATGTTAAGCGCATTTGAGCATCATATTTGATTTGCACATTTATTGAATGGAAATGTTTCTGATTCACGTATGCAAATTTGTCTTCAGATGGCGCATTTATGGCAATGTGCGTGCAGTCGATTGCTCTGATTACATAGGGAAAACGGTGCATATTGTGCTTTAATGTTTGGTCAAATGCATGGTATGGAAACCCTATATACCTGCTAGACATGTGGATGATCTCGTCCCACACAGCTGCCATTGCATGGCTCAAAGATACTTTTTAGTGTGCAATTTTACATAATTGCCTCTAGGTGTCGCCAATGGAAAAAACCAAACACACACAAGAAATGCACATACGGCAGACATGAAGGTAGCGTGAACCAACGCACATTCTCATGTCCATTTCATCGTTAGTAAATCCAAACGTGAGCGTGAAATCTGGTGTGCGCAAAGTTTTTGTGAGTACACAGCAGATCCAGATCCAGATCTGTTTTTACATTACGGTGACGGTTGGGTTTAGGGTTGGGCTAGACGTTAATGAAATTCAATAAATAATATAAATAATTATCGTTAACTTCCAGCCGCAGCCGCATGTGATCTATAGCTGATTTACAATGTGGATGGATGATAACAACCTTCTGAGCCTACTAGTAGGCACAGAAGACCCCTACTGGCTGATAACCACAGATAACACCCATTCAATCGAGTGATAACATTCAAAGTGGGTGCTCGTCTCTTATTTAAAGTAACTAGCTACTTACTTGGTTGATAAAGGATAGAAAAGTGACTTCTCTCAAGACCAAAAAAAAAAAAAAAAGCTCTCACCTGATTTTTGGAGTTGAGTTTTGGGCAGGGTCGACCTCCATTGAAGGGCTTTTCTCGCAGCCACTGAGAGCGAACTTTCACACCTCCACCACAGGAGGCGCTGCAGGCAGACCAGTGAGACCATTCACTCAGCTTACAGTCTGTAGAGCAGGACACATGACACGACTCCTCTTCATAACCTGCCATAAAAGACACAACACTTCTTTTAGATATGTAATTGGCCAATTAGCTCATGTAGTGTCATTTTGAATGGCAGTATTTTGAAATGGCAAACATGTGACTTTGGCCAAAACCCAATTTTATTTTTGTACCCTTACCCCTTTCTTTTGGCCCATACAATCGAGGGTGAAGCTTCAAAATTTACCCTTAAGAATTGGGACTGCACTACAGCACCTGCGCACGTCATCATATGACATCACAATGTCTTCCTTCATATGAGATCAGACGATGGCGACTGCTGTAGTTATTCCAGTTGTGTTATTTTTTGGTATTTATCTTCAGGAAATAACTGAAGGCATATATTATGTTATCATAACGATCTAATGTGGCAATAAGATCATAACTGTACTTTTTATTTACACAGTGGCCATATATTTATCTATGTAAACACCCGAAAAACAACATTAACATTATAGCAGACACTGCAAAAAGCTCATTCAGAGCCACTAGACTTTTCTGACAGGGTATTCCATTGTCATCGAGTGTCAGAATGTTGTGGGACTGCTATACAGGAGTTATGACTATGGATTATAGTTCGCAAAATTTAGCGTTTTTTTTTTAGCCTTTTTTGTAAAAAGCATGATGGTAAAACATGAACGCGGTTATGAATTTATTAAAACACGTGTTTATTTGTTGTAAAATTCATAAAAACGACAAAAAAATACTAATTTGTCGATCTCCTTACTTCCGGGTGCATTGATTCTTCAGTTGTGGCTGGTGTATTCTGGGAAATTTTCTTACCCCTTGGTTTCAAGTGTGGTCCTGAAAAATCTTCGTTCGAAGGGCTATTCACCCCTTCCCCTTAGCCCTATGCCTTCAAGCTAAAGAGAATTGGGACACCCCTACCCCTTGACGTGAGCACGCAGAACGAGGGGTAGGGGTAAGGGGAAGGGCAAAGGGGTAGAATTGGGATTGGGGCTTTATGTCAGATTGTTGTGTGTTATGCAGAGAACTGTTTTCAGTGCATTTAAAAAGTGTCAATTTGAAAAGCGAAATGTGTGTAAAGCAGAAAACGTGTTTAGACTTTTGATTATTCCCAGACAACTGATTATTCCCACAATATCAAAATCAACTGTAGGCAGTAGACCTTTTGTATTATCTGGCACCTAAACTCTGGAACAGCCTTCCTAGCACAGTTAAGGAAGCAGACACACTCTGTCAAAGTTTTAAACTTTTTGACTCTGTCAAAGATTAAAGACTCCTCTCTTTGCATTAGCATACACAAAAAACACAAAGGCTTTTAAAACCCAAATCCTCTAAAGGATTGTTAGTCTGCATTATTCGGGGCAACCGGAGCTAGGAACACTTCCCTATAAAGACATTATAATTTAAACGACATCTGGGCTTATGTTGGTCTTTTTTTTAATATAGCCAAGGTTTCCATAATCCTGGACCAGGCCGTATCTTGAGAAGCTGCTGTGGTGGTTATGGAGGAGTGGAGAGCATGAGACTAATCCTCGTAAGACCCCAGTGACAAACGAGTCCTCGCATTGATCCTAAAGGGCCAGCCTGTACACTAGCCGGTGACCTCTCCCACCTCTCACAATGGATGTCCAGCTTTCTCCAGCCTCCGGCGCCTAGACTGCAGCTCTGCATGCAAAGACGTTTGGCCATAGGAGAAATGGTCGTGCCCAACTGAGCTTGTTTTTTTAATTCTTCACTTTCGCCCATTGGTGAAGTTTTTTCTTCCCCGCTGTTGCCACTGGCTTGTGTTTGAACTCTCAGCAGTGAATATTAAACCATGCTAAACTAAACTGAACTTTAACATTGAAAACTGGACTGACACTGTTTCGACTTACTATAATCTTCTATGTGAAGCTGCGTTGACACAATCTACATTGTAAAAGCGCTATAGAAATAAAGTATTAAAGATGTATTGAATTGTATTTTGGAGACTTAAGTAGAAGTTTTGTTCTCTGTGTGTCAGTTTAAATAATTGTGCTGTGCATGTCATTTTAGTGTTAGCAATTGGAAAAAAAACTGGAAAAAAAATAATATATATTTTTTTTAACTTATCTAATAATTCCAGCCAGGATTTAGTGAACTTAAATAATGTCAAAACACAAAATTTCCTGTTCTTATATAAAAAGGCCTAAATGCATGCAGTAGCTGCTGCTGCATCTTCCTCTGCTTATAAACGCATAGACAAATATTTAGGATCGGTTCATGAGATCTGACAGATAAACGAGTACCGACCAAGTCATTAATAGTGATCATTGGCTGATAACGACCTCCAGCCGATCGATCGGGACATACCTAATATAAATATGACTTATTCATTATGATTGTCTATTAATAATTATATAATATTACATTTAATTTAATTATATATTAAAAATTACAATTAGGTGAACATACTTATATACATTAACATTACATTTAAACTCATTTGTGAAGTGTTTCTCCTCACCAGGGCTGCTGCAGAGCGCCGGCTCCACCAGCTGTCTCAGATGATCCAGACAGACCAGAGCTCTGTAGCGTCTCCCATGCCCACACTCGCTGCTCCTCCTAAGGCCTCGCCAGTCCTGGACTGCCTTCTGGCCTTGGTGGAAAACTCCTTGGATGAAAGGCCGTCCAGCAGTGCTCTTCACTGCTGAGAGTAAACATGGAGACCAGGGACCCTGAGGCCTGCTGTGAAATTCAGAACAAGGACAAGCTTCTTTCTCCAGCAGAGGAAACAACTCCTCCTGTTGGCATCGCCAGCGCTTCTTACTGCGACCTGAGAGCGTGGAGGAAATGAGAGCTCAGAGTCAGGAGAAAACATCCCCAGAATAATTTATCAATCAATCAAAAAATAAATAAAAAAACGACCAAAAAAACGATTTTTAAATTAGTAGTTTTCAAGAAGTGGTCGATCTGATATTGATTCCCCAAAGTTACAGTTACAGTTAACAAGCAAGGCATTTTTGATCAAAAGTGACACAGGCTTCTCCCAAAAGATAATGTGATGATATAAAAGAAGCATCATTGTGTAAAAAATGAGAGATCGAGAGAGACCTATGAGAGATCGGGTGCGTGTGCGCCAGCTTCCACAGCCTCGACACTGACTGAATCTGCTCCAGGAGGTGAAGCTGCATTCATCTCTGCATGGCACACGACACTCCCTCACTGACACGGGCATCAGTCCTGCCCAGCTCACACACTCGGCCATTTCTGCCGGAGCATCATCCGCACCCACACACGTCACCTCTGCAAACATCAGGAAAGACAGCTTAAACGTGAGTTCAATGCCAGATCAAATGTTATGGATAACAGTCAGCCTGAACAATTAAATGTTACCCTGAACAACAAAACCAGTCTAAAATGAACAAGATTATCAATTTGATCAGATTTGCAGTTATGCCAAAAATGATTAGAACATTAAATAAAGAATGTGTTCAATGTAGATATTTAGTAAATTTTCTGCTTTTAGTAAATATGCAAACATTTTTGTTTTTAGTATTTAGATATTTTTTTTGCACACACAGATTCCAAATGTTCAAATAGTTGTATATGTCAGCCAAATATTATCCTTTCTTTACATGGAAAGCTTACTTATTCAGCATTATTTAGATGCTTACATCTTAATAATAATTAAATTATGTTGTCTGGTTCAGGGTCAGATTAAGAACACAATGAGCCCTGGGGCTATAGCAAATCCAAGGGCCCCCTTTTAATATTTTTTTTTTTTACCTCACTTTTATATATATATATATATAAATATATATATATATATATATATATATATATATATATATATATATATATATATATATATATATATATATATAATATATAAATAATTGTTGTTGTTATTATTATTTTTAACTTACTAATTGATATTATTATCTAATTTTACACCATTTGATTTATATTTGATCATTGTATTTTTTTTATTTCATTAAAATAGGCCTGCAAGTATACAAAACTAAGTAATGACATAATATGAACTTTAAAGTTCAAACCAAGTGTGCCGCAAGCCTCCGTTTGAGTGATGCTGCGTCCCAAATCGCATACTTATGCACTATTCTATGCCATTTTGTAGTATAAATAGTGCAAGTAGTGTGTTCACACTGAAAAATCAAAAAATAATCAGTGCACTTTAATTAACCGGATGATGCACTCATTCAGCCGCTAAAATTAAGTGTGTAATGATGGACACTTCATGCACTTAACGACCGCAGGTTTGCTTACGTAGCGGAAGGGGCAGAGCTATCGGACGCACATGTTAAAATAACTTTATTTATTTTGGATGGTGAAAGCAAAATTCTCCTACCAGAGTAATTATAGCGCCTACCGATGGTGAATGTAGTTATACTCAAGGCAGGTATTATTTGATAATTTGGTTGTTTATTTCACTGATTTGGCAACCGTCAAACGTCATCAGGGAAACGGTTTGAATTTCCGCTTAGTAAAAAACATTAGTGTGCCATTTGGGACGACACTACATACATATACTATCCTGTTGAGTGTGTAAGTGCATAAGTACATAGTGCATGAGTGCATAGTGTATGGTGTGCCATTTGGGACGCAGCTATTGATTCAAACAGGCTGCAAAAATCAATCGCTGTGTGATGGAAGGATTGTGCGGGCGCGCGCCGGTTTGAGTCCAGCTGTGCGGCCGAGACAGCGCTTTAGTTATGAGTCCATTAAGTATGATTCCGTCTATCACAGCCTCTGTTAATACTTGTACAAGTGTATCAATGATGAAGACTGTTTGAATTTTATTTTTTAGTTTTACTAAAAGCTTGGTTAGCTTACCTTTGACTGGACGGTTCTTGTGGTAGTGCCGAAATAAGTGGCCAAAATAAGCATTTGAATCTCTTTATAACTGAGTTTGAATTTGAGTCTCTTTATAACTACTTTCAGGAGCCACCAAACTAGGTCAGAGGTCTCGAAGACCTTGAGAGACACTGAGGGCTGAGGACTGGAAGCAACTGTTTCTATTGGTATTTATGAGTTAATACTATCTAAAATGTCTAAAGCAATTTTGCTATTTTCATGGTTAATTATTTTAAAGTGATTCTATTTTTTATCCAAGATAGACTTTATGTATTAAGGATATAACTGCCTGAATGTTGATTATACCGGTTTTTAACTAGTTTTGATAAAGACAGCAGAGAGTACACTCAGCCCTGGATAAGAAACAGATTGTTCTTTAGGTGTGTGTGTTCTATTTTATTATGGATCCGTTTTACAGGTCTAGAGTTAGCTCTAAACTGTCTAGTGGATGTCTGACGTTTATGCTTAAGATGTTGTTAAGAATTGTACGCAGAAACCCCACGTGGATATTTTCCTAGTCTGTCTGTGTTAGAACACCTATATGTGTGACGCAGTTAATGACGTTATGTGAGAGTATAATTGTTTTTGATTGGTGATTGTAAGCAGAGCGGCCTAGGAACTCATTGCGAGTATTGAAGCTGGCTTCTGCTGATGAAACTGCAAACTGTGTTCAGTAAACTTCATTTATTTATTTAAATCTCTGACTCCGGCTCTTCTTCATCTGACAGACTGGTCATTCTTTGGGTTAAACTGTATACCAATCCCTTCAAGGGCTATTCAATATTCTGATTGGGCTACAGCCACTCGAGCCCCAGTTTAGCAACGGCATCACTATTTTTGAACAGCAGCGAACCGAAAGGAATACTTCGCATTATAGACAAGAGAAAGCATAACGCAAAGAGGCGTTCCCGCGTCATAGTGCAAATTATTTCTTCAGCCAATCAAGGGCCGCCTTCTTTTGTGGACCCTGGGGCTTTAGCCCAACCTAGCCTTTAGGTTAATACGGCCCTGGTCTGGATATGTTGTCTAGAGTCATAAATGCATTTAGAAAAAAACATGGAATAAACTTTGTAATAAAAACTATGTTGCTGGCTGGACAAATTGTATGTTTCCCAAACCCCACAGTGTGCATCCAGAATGAACAATTTTTCCAAACTAATTCCAAAGTTTACTCCTATGCAATTAGTGCAAAGTGCATTCAAAAAGGATCCTGACCGTGTCTTCATAGGTCGCTGCTTGCCTTTAAATTTACATGAAGCACCAGCGGGGTGTTTGAAAAGAGGAGATGTCAGATATCACACCACGCTGTGTGTGACATTTTGGCAACTTTAGATGTAAATATGGTGGAAAATGCCCACAAATATCTTTTGGCAGCTGAAGAAATCCTTCAGAAAGCCTCCGGGTAAATGATCGCCCTACAGCTACCCCAATTTTGCAGAACTTTGCAAATAAAACTTAAAATCATATGGAGATCCTAATCTGTCACTTACCTCTTGTCTCCAGGCCAGAGCCGCATGCCTCTGCGGGTCCTCCAACAGCCTGCCGCACCGAATCGGGTACCAGAACACACTGATGCCAGCGGTGCGTCTGCCATCTGCCAGCACACATCAGGACACAGAAAACAACTTGAAGAATTTCCACTTATATCTTATGAACATTTTGTGTTTTGATGGCTAGTTAGTAGGAATACACATTATTACTCTTGGATTAAGAACAAGGGTTTGATTTTGATGATTAAAACAATGCTTTAAATTTCTAGCTTTAAAGCAAATATTGGGTACATTAAGGGTGTGTTCAAGCTTTTAGTTGGGTTCATTTGGTCCATATCAAAAAACTAATTGTCTTAGTTGTGGACACTTTTTTTAAGTTTGAACCTAAAGATACAAAATAAAAATGCTTTTAGTATGTACATTTTGCAAGAAAACTTACATTCAAAAAAAAGCTGAGCTGAACTTGCTCATTATACAGTTGAAACCGGAAGTTAACATACACTCTAAAAAAAAGGAACTGTTTTAAAAAAATGTCTGATGGTAAATCATACTAAATGTTTACTATTTAAGGTCTGTTAGGTCCGTTTACATTTGCTAAATGGCAGAATAATGAAATATTTTTTTTGAGAATGTTTTATTAATTTCTAGACAGTCAAAAGTTTACATACATTTCCTTGGTATTTATTTATTTATTTTTTTTGCTTTTAAACTGTAAAACTTTGGTCAAATGTTTTGGGTATCCTTCCACAAGCTTCTCACAATAGTTTGAAGGAATTTTGGCCTATTCCTCCTGACAGAATTGGTTTAGTCAGATTTGTCTTGCTCGCACAAGCTTTTTCAACTCTGCCCACAAATGTTCTATAGGATTGAAATCAGGGCTTTGTGATGGCCACTCCAAAACATTCACTCTGTTGTCCTTAAAGCACATTTTAATAAATTTGGCAGTATGCTTAGGGTCATGGTCCATTTGGAAGACCCATTTGTGGCCAAGTTTTAATATCCTGATTACAAATGTCCTCTAAATGTAACACCGGTCATTACGGCCAAACAGTTCAATCTTAGTTCCATCAGACCACAGGACGTGTCTTCATAAATTATTCTTTTCCCCAGTGTTTTAGCAAATTGTAATCCAGCTTTTTTGTTGATTCTGGGTTGTTGATTTTCCCATGTTGTCACACAAGTAAGCAGTGTGTTTTTCCTTAAATACTATTCTACAGTTGTGCCTTAAATTAACTCAAATGTTGTCAATTATCCAATCAGAAACTTTCAAAACCTTGACACCATCATCTGAGCTTTTTCAGAGGCATAATAACCTTATTGTATGTAAACTTGACTTTCAGGAAAAAGTCTGCTATTAAGCATAACAGAAACAAATATGATAATCCTAACTTAACTAAAAGATAAAAAGTTTAGTCACATTAACATCTGACTTTTTAAAAAAAATGGTTATGTGCCTTTTCATACAGCGAATGTAAACTTTTGTCTTTAACTGTACAGTATGTGTGTACTGTGTATATGGGATGGAATAATTTGAATCATCTGGGAATACATGAAGAGCTTGTAAACTCAGTAGAGAACTCAAAACATAGTCAGGAAATCCTCTGCAACTCAAACAAATGAAGATTTGCTGCAAGGAGATATGTTTCAGATATATTGCACTGAAATGGACAACACTTCAAGAAAACTGCTATGCTTGTGCATTCGGTATTTTTATGGTCTCATTTTGTGACACCGTATATTGTTTTTGGCTCATTTAGATGTCTTTGGTCACGTCTTGAAGAGTTGAAGACAATGAAGTTGAAGAGTTTGTTTGGAAGAGTCTCATATTTTCACACTTGTTCAGATGAACCATAATAACAGAGACAGTAATAATGATAATATTAATCATAGTAAAAAAATAGTTTTTTTTATCATTTAAATTTTTTTTTAGACATTTTTGTTTGGGTGAGAAAAAGAGACATCTTACAAAATGTTTCAACAGTATCATTTTTCTAGGGGTGTGAGCCTACACTGGTCTCACAATTTGATTAGATTATTATATCATTGATGATCATTTTGACATCAAATGCAAGTATTTAAAATCCAAACATTTACAAATGCATACAATATCCTGAAAAAATGGAAGTGCCAAATACAAACATGCCATCAACAAAGGCAGAGATTGCTTTCTTTTAATGTAAATAATTCTGCAAACCAACATCAGCATCCAAACACAGTGAATCCAATGTGTTCACACAGCATGCTGTAGTTAGTATAGGCGGAGATTACAAGCTGCTCAGTGAGTAGGAAAGATGGAGCATTACAAAAAAGCAATGACATAGGGGTCTTGGGTTATACTCTACCTTCAGCGTCAGTGGAAGCCTGTCCCAACAAACTCACAAGCAGTGTGAAATGTGCCCTGATGTTGGCTTTGGAGAGCATTTTAAATGACTTGCATATGCATCTCGCCTTTCTTGCTATAGCATGTTGCCAAGACAAATGACTTCAGTAAAGTGTCAGTTAATCATAACTGGCTATATTCTGTTACTAAACCAATACCACATCCTCCTCGCCTTTTCTCCAATGCACCACCCATTTAAATAATAATTTTTTTTTTTTTTACCTGTATGTTGGGCACAGAGGAGGTGGATCACAGTTCCTCTCTTCATAAAGAGTATCTGGACACTCTTGGCCCCCGTTAGCATGTCTCTGGATGATAATCCTGTGACGGGACTGGGTTGAGACAGTAGCATTCACTACAGAAGTGAAAAAAACAATTGACAATGATGAAAAATACTGGCGAATGACTGTGCTAACGGGATGCTGACTATCCCTGCATACGAAAGGTCATTTTTTCTTACTATAAAGTGTGTAAAAAACATTATATGAGTTGAGTAATTTCCCAGAAATGGGTTGAGGTTGGAAAGGCATCCGCTGCGTAAAACATGTGCTGGATAAGTTGGCGGTTCATTCCGCTGTGGCAACCCCGGATTAATAAAGGGACTAGGCCGAAAAGAAAATGAATGAATGAATGAGTTGAGTATTGGCATTCAAAAAAACAGTAGACAAACATTACCCACATGATGTTTTTTTCCACCGATACAGCGAACAGTTTACTATACTATCCAATGAAGCCACGAAAGGAGATTTATGAAAGAAATTTTTGTGACAATAGATTCTGGTAGGTAATGTAATGTAATGTGTATTTATATAGCACATTTAGCGGGGGGGGGGGGGGGGAGGGGGGGGGGGGTTCTCCACACCACCACCAGTGTGCAGCATCCACATGGATGATGCGACGGCAGCCACAGGACAACGGCGCTAGTGCGCTCACCACACACCAGCTATCATCTGATAATGACAACATGATGGATGCAGTATGTTCATATTATATCTGACCACCCTATGTTCTTCCAGGTAATTGTAAAATTCTGGATTCTGATTGGCTAGAAGGTGTGCAATAAAATAGTTTAATTCACAGGTAGTTTCAGTCAGTTTTGATCACAGTTTGAAATAATTGTGCTTTCCCCATGCATTAGTAGTTACCATAGTAACCAGTGCTTAATTTGTGAATTGTGAGGTCTCGGAACAGATTGAGGTAATGGATTCGGCATGTTACCCGAGGATGAAGGGGTGTCGCGGGGACTAAAGGGAGTGGGGCAGTGGTGTCGCGGATGAAAGTTAGAAGGGTTTGGGAGTCGTGGAAAAAAGTGAAAGTGAACAACAGACAAGGGAGGAGATGAAATTTCAGAAGTAGCCATTTTGGCGTGTTCTGGCACAAAATTAAGCCCTGATAGTAACTCAGTGGCAGTTGACGAAGTCCTCATTCCTCTTTGTAATCTCGAGGACACTGACATGTGCTCCACCAGGGCCCTGATTGGGGATTAACCATCTCGGAAACATGCTCAAATAAAGAGGCAGCTAACATTTGTTACCATGAGCTATTAGAAATGCCTGTGTCATTAACATCCACACACACAATCTTTTTTCCCCTCCGCTTAACATTGGGTGGTTCTTTGCCTCTGCAATGTGCATTTAAATACCTATGGGTCTGTTGATTATCCCTTACTGATTACATGGCTGTCTGGCATACTTTATTCTGATTGGTCAGTTGCAACATTCCAAAGTATGTTTATTCAAGATAACAACTGCTGAAATTAAATACATGGCTCATCTGAGTACATCAAATCATCTTGAATGTCAGTGAATATGTTCACATCAATATATACACAGAAAAAAAAAAAATTCAATGATGATTCCTTGGATTTACCAAACTTTTTATGTTAAGTGGTTGTAAACAATTTATTTGGGCTGAATTTAAACAAACAAATTAAGTTGAACATTATTAAACTGAATTTGATTGTTTAAATTCTAAACTATATCCTCAAAAAGGCGACAATACCTTGGCGCGTGTTGAGCACACTGGCTCTTCATCAGACAGTGAAAGCTGTTATGTCAAATGTTACATGTCTTGTGTTAGCCTTTTTAATTTATTAAATTGCCATTATTGGAGCTTTGGTGTTGCCGTATTTTTAAATATATATATATATATATATATATATATATATATATATATATATATATATATATATATATATATATATATATATATATATATATATATATATATATATATATATATATATGTATGTGTGCATGCTTTTGTGCATTTTTTTCTTTGTTAAAACTCAACCCATATAAATTGTTTGCAACAGTTTTGGAGAAATAATTTTCTTCAGCGTCTGTCTCATCACTGTTTTTGACTGTTTTTTGCTGCCATCTGACTAAATAATATTTAGGTTAGTGTATGCTCCATTCAGCCGTTTTAGATTCTGTCAGCTTTGCTTCAGAATTAATTAACTGTAACAGCTCAGAACAATATTTTGTGTCTAATGTTTCTGTTTTGTGGCAAGTAGCCATGAAATTAGTGGCATAAAGTACAACCAGACAGATGTTTTTACAGAGTAAAGCCATTCAGTCTTATACAACAGTGCTCCGCTTCATGTCAGGCAGTTAAGAAGCCTGTTGGTCTTTATTCTGTGACAACAACAACCTAGATGTACTTTATTCCTTAAATATTGACCTTATTCTACAATGGGGAAGTGCGCTTGGTTTTTGCGGTTGTTTTAGATTTTTCAATTCAGTTGCCTATTGGAGAAATGACTAGGAATAATAAACAACAGAAAACGTTCGAGGTTACAGAAGTAACCCTTCGTTCCCCGAGGAGGGGAACGGAAGTGCCATGAATGGGAGGATTCGGATCAGAAGCCGCTTATCTGGAGAGTATTGAACGGGCCAATGAATGAAATTAATTGGCAGCGTAAGCTTGCGCAGGTGTGCGACATCTGCAATTATCTCAGCATATAAGCACACCTGAAGCCAGCAGACGCCATCCTTTTAAGCTGAAGAGACTTTCAAACAGCTAAGGGACAGTCATTATGGCGACGGAATATGGCACTTCCGTTCCCCTCCTCGGGGAACGAAGGGTTACTTCTGTAACCTCGAACGTTCCCCTTCGGTTGGGGAACTTCAGTGCCATGAATGGGAGAATATGGAAAGCGCCATAATGACTGCACCTTACCAACACCCCCGATGAGGAGATAGTCAAGCAAGCGTGACGCACCCACATCATGGGGGGCGCGGTCCTCCAACGTGTCCCTGGCCCTAATTTATCCTACTTCAACAGAAGTTTTACGGATTTAGATATATTTTTTGGGAAGTCGTGAGCATCTAGATAATTCTAGGAAATACGACAGTACGTTGGGAAGCGTGCAATCCCGATAGGGAGGACGCTGCGGAGGCCATCCGTTACCCAAGGGGGGGATAGATGGCAGAATTTACCTATGGACTAGCCCTAAAAAGGGGGAGTACGCATAGCAAAGAGTGGTTAGCGGAGAGGGAAGACACGGGTCCGCCCAGGGGGGGGACTTAACCGTGGCGGAATAAGCATATGGGATCGCCTAGTGGGGATCACGCATAGCAGGCACCTATACCCAAAACGCGGGCTGACCAGCGGGCAGACCTACAACGTAGTGGGCCAGCAAGTGACTCCTCCGCTGAGTCAGTGCTGGGGGCCACGGAGGAATCTGCAGGGCTCACCTGACGGGGAACTTTACTGACAGATAAAAAAGGCGCACGTACCTCCGTGTTAGGGAGAATGGCGCAGCAAGCGTGTTTCAACACCCTACCGAGTTGTCTCCTCAATCACCAAAGGGTTACCTAATACCCTTGAGGAAACCGGCTCCACTCGCAGATTGTAAAACCTTGCAAATGTGTTGGGTGTCGCCCAGCCCGCAGCTCTACAGATGTCTGTTAGAGAGGCGCCGCGTGCACGCGCCCAAGAGGATGCAACGCTCCGAGTGGAGTGTGCACGTACTCCCGGGGGACACAGCTGACCTCGACTCGAATAAGCGAGTGAAATGGCATCCACAATCCAGTGGGATAATCTTTGTTTCGATACGGCACTTCCCTGCTGCCGACCGCCATAACAGACAAAGAGCTGCTCAGATGATCTAAAATTCTGAGTACGGTCCACATAAATGCGCAGAGCGCGAACTGGACAAAGTAAAGAAAGGGCTGGGTCTGCCTCCTCCGGGGGCAGCGCTTGCAGGTTCACTACCTGATCTCTAAAGGGGGTGGTAGGAACCTTGGGCACATAACCGGGGCAGGGTCTCAGGATAACGTGAGAGTAATCCGGCCCGAATTCCAGGCACGAGTCACTGACCGAAAATGCCTCCAGGTCCCCGACCCTCTTGATGGAGGCCAACGCAACCAGCAGAGCTGTCTTCAGGGACAGAAATCTTAGAGATACTGATTCGAGTGGCTCAAAGGGATCGGATCGCAGACTCGTGAGAACGAGGGCGAGATCCCAAGAGGGCATGAGAGGGGGGCGAGATGGATTAATTCGCCTAGCACCCCTAAGGAACTGGATGACCAGGTTATGCTTTCCCACGGTGCCGCCAGCTACCGCGCTATGATAAGCGGAGATGGCGGCCACGTAAACCTTGAGAGTGGAGGGCGACAGCCTGCTGTCCAACTTCTCTTGAAGGAAAGAGAGCACAACACTAATCTGGCAATTTCGGGGGTCTTCTCTGCGAGAGACGCACCATTCAGTGAATAGACTCCACTTCAGGGCGTAGGCGCGCCTAGTGGAGGGGGCTCTAGCCTGAGTGATGGTATTAACCACCGCAGTCGGTAGGTTACCTAAGTCTTCCTCGCGTCTAGGGACCACACGTGGAGGTTCCAAAGATCGGGGCGAGGGTGCCAGATGGTGCCCTGTCCCTGAGAGAGTAGGTCCTCTCTCAAAGGGATCCGCCAGGGGAGGGCCGTCGCGAGGAGTGAGAGCTCTGATATCCAGGTCCGGTTGGGCCAAAGGGGCGCAACTAGCAGAACCTGTTCCTCGTCCTCCCTGACCTTGCACAGAAGCTGCGCGAGCAGGCTCACTGGGGGAAACGCATACTTGCGCATGCCCCGAGGCCAGCTGTGCATCCCCGAGTGCATCCGTGCCGAGAGAGCCCTCGGTCAGGGAAAAAAACAACTGGCAGTGAGCGTTCTCGGGGGAAGCAAACAGATCGATCTGGGCCTCCCCGAATCGCGCCCATATCAGCTGAACAGACTCGGGGTGGAGTCTCCATTCTCCAGGGCGTAACAGCTGTCGTGAGAGCGCATCGGCTGCACGATTGAGCGTGCCTGGGACGTGAATGGCGCGCAGCGATTTCAGCCGCGGGTGACTCCAGAGGAGCAGACGGCGGGCGAGCTGAGACAAGTGGCGAGAGCGCATACCCCCCATGCGGTTGATATACGCCGCCGCCGCCGTACTGTCCGTCCTGACCAGCACGTGTTGCCGCTCCAGCACCGGTAAAAAGCGGTGGAGAGCGAGGAACACTGCCAACAGCTCTAGGCGATTGATATGCCAATGCAGCTGGGCACCCTTCCAGAGGCCCGCAGCCGCATGCCCGCGACACACAGCCCCCCAACCCGTGTTGGAAGCGTCTGTTGAAACAACAACATGGCTGGACGCCTGTCCTAGAGGCACACCGGCCTGTAGGAACGAGGGGTCGTTCCAAGGGCTGAGGGCGCGGCGACACAGCGCAGTAACCGAGACCCGGTGTGTGCCCGCGTGCCATGCGCGTCTGGGGACCAGATCGTGAAGCCAGTGCTGAAGTGGTCTCATATGGAGCAACCCGAGCGGCGTGACGGCGGCTGCGGATGCCATATGCCCCAGGAGCCTCTGAAAGAACTTCAGTGGGACCACTAGTTTGCTGTCGAGCTCCCTCAGACAGTTCAGCAACAGGCGAGCGCGTTCCTCGGAGAGGTGCGCTACCATGGTGATCGAGTCCAGCTCCATCCCGAGAAAAGAAATCCTCTGCACGGGGGCGAGTTTGCTCTTTTCTCGGTTGACCTGAAGCCCCAGTAGGCGGAGATGCCGAAGCACCTCGTCCCTGTGCATAATCAATTGCTCCCGCGAGTGGGCTAAAATCAGCCAGTCGTCGAGATAACTGAGTATGCGAATGCCCGCGAGCCGAAGGGGCGCTAGGGCACCCTCCGCGAGTTTGGTGAAGACCCGCGGAGACAGAGAGAGCCCGAAGGGGAGGACCTTGTACTGCCACGCTCGACCCTCGAACGCAAACCGCAGAAATTGGCGGTGGCGTGGAAGAATGGAGACATGGAAATACGCGTCCTTCAGGTCTATGGCTGCAAACCAATCCCGAGGACGAACGCATTGGAGAATGCGCCTCTGCGTGAGCATTCTGAACGGCAGCTTGTGCAGACAGCGGTTCAAAACGCGCAGATCTAGAATTGGCCGTGACCCACCGCTCTTTTTGGGTACGATGAAGTATGGGCTGTAAAACCCACTCTCCATCTCGGCTGGAGGAACCGGCTCGATTGCACCCTTCGCCAGGAGGGCAGCAATCTCCTCTCGCAAGACAGGGGCGGACAGGGGGTTGACCCTGGAGAAATACACGCCCGTAAACTTGGGGGGCCGTTTCGCGAACTGAATCGCGTAACCGAGTCTGATTGTGCGTATGAGCCACCGCGAGGGGCTGGCCCGCGCTAACCAGGCAGGCAGAGCCCTCGCTAATGGAGTCATCGCTACAATCGCTGACGTACCAGCGGTGGGGCAGCGCGGAGTGGGTGTGCTGATCCGGGAAGCACGAGGGTCCCGCGGAAAAGCTGGAGGAGAGCGATTCGCTCTGGCTCCGCACCCTGACTCCGGAGAGGGGGCTGGAGGGCTGAGGGAAGGGAGACCGTCCCCCCAGCGCTCGTGAGCCACTGGCGAAGCACGTAGAGTCTGCGAGCCGGAAGGCAGCGCGTCCCGGACTGGCAGAACTCGTGCAGTCACATCCGGGGAAGGGAAAAAGTGCTCTTTTAATGATGTTTTGGTGGCACTGAAAAGTACCGTTGTTATCGGGGCCCCGCCCTCCAGCGGGGAAAGAGCAAGTTTCCTCTTCTCCGGATGGCCTGTCTCAGGGACGCTTCGCGGTCCGTTTACCGGCCTTAACGGCGCCCTGGGCAGGAGGGGCTGCCTGCTTTCGAGGTGAACGCCGCGCCCGCTTCCCTCGGCGAGGAACAGCGGAGGTGGATGGCTCGGCGGGCGGAGCGGGCTTACGGCCACGCCGATAGATGACATTGCCCATCGCATCCGACTGCTCTTTCACCGCCTTGAATTCCTGGGTGAATTCACCGACGGTGTCGCCGAACAGGCCAGCCTGGGATATGGGCGAGTCAAGAAAGCGAACTTTGTCAACGTCGCGCATATCGGCCAGGTTTAGCCAGAGGTGGCGTTCCTGAACCACAAGTGTGGACATCATCCTCCCCAGCGCACACGCGGCGGACTTAGTAGTCCGAAGAGCATAGTCGGTCGCGGTGCGCAGCTCATGTAATAAGCTTGGGTTGGACCCGCCCTCGTGCAGCTCGGCCAGCGCCTGCGCTTGGTAGCGCTGGTAGGTGGCCATCGCGTGCAAAGCAGAAGCAGCCTGGCCCGCAGCCTTATAAGCTCTGGCTCCGAGGGAGGCAGACAACCTACAGGCTTTGGACGGGAGGCGGGGCAAACCCCGCCACGTAGAGGCGCCGCGCAGACAAAGATTCACCGCGATAGCGCGCTCCACTGACGGGATCGCCTCATACCCCCTGGCAGCTCCGCCGTCAAGGGCGGTGAGGGCGGAGGCACTCGCAGCACGGGCAGAGAAAGGTGCCCTCCAGGACTGCGTGAGCCTACTGTGCACTTCCGGGAAGAAGGGGACGAGAGGCTTCGAAGGCTTTGCCTTCTGGTCCTCTACGTAGCACCCATCTAGTCGGTCCGGCCGCGGAGCTGGGGGATAAACCATCTCCAACCCCACGGCCGAAGCAGCCCGGGAAAGCACGGCTAACATGTCCGCTTCAGGATCCGATTTGACAGCGCTCACCTGCCCGGAGGGGGCGAGCGGGTCCGGATCTTCGTCGGACAGTGAAAGCCCACCCTCCGATGCCGCGGAGGACATCTGATCTCCGGTGTCAGCGAGTGTGAGAGCTACCATCTGGTTAGACGGATCACTCTCACCACCCGAAGCTTGGTTGGAGCGCCGTGAGGAGCGAGAGGTCCGCGAGCCCGTGGGCGGCGGATTAGCTCCCGCTGAAACCCTCAGATCTGCCCGAGCGCCCGCTGCTTTTTTAGAACAGGAGGCAACTGGGGTGGCTCGCTCTCTTGCGAAAGTTAGCCGCGATCTTAGCTGTGCAACGGTCATGGCATCGCAATGACGACATGAACCGCCCGCGAGCACCGCATTAACATGCTGGACCCCCAAACATGCAATGCAGTGATCGTGTCCATCATCCGGAGACAGGAAACCCCCGCATCCAGAAACGCACAGTCGGAGCGCCATCCTGAAAAGGACGTGCTGCACGACTGTGTTGCTCTTTTAGGAAAGTTGCAACTATACGCACCGCTCTGGAGGACCGGACCCAAAGAACCGCAGGCAAGGGAGTAACCCAGCTCGACCGTCTGCCACCGCGAAGACCCACTCTGGACCGGGAGACACACTCGTTCGCTCTGAAGTGCTGATCAGCAAGAGGAACCCTCATCGACTCACTCAGAAAGGATCTGAAGCGAAAAGGATGGCGTCTGCTGGCTTCAGGTGTGCTTATATGCTGAGATAATTGCAGATGTCGCACACCTGCGCAAGCTTACGCTGCCAATTAATTTCATTCATTGGCCCGTTTAATACTCTCCAGATAAGCGGCTTCTGATCCGAATCCTCCCATTCATGGCACTGAAGTTCCCCAACCGAAGGGGAACGGTCAAGCTACTTCCTCTACAAACAACTGTGTTCATAAATATACATAAAAGGAGAATAATATAATAAAAAGGTGTCAGTTTTCAACATCAAGCATCAGTTTGCAGCTTTAATTGTCTAAAAATCAATGGAAGTGAACGAGACCGAAAGTCCCAAGCCAAAAAGATTCCAATGCCTGCACCCACTTGTATGTCAATAATAAGGTCAATACTATATAATCATAAACTAAATACAACTGTAGTAGCTTCTCAGGCACTATGTGATTTTAGATGCACCATTGTATGAATATGCTTACCTGACAAACAGGAAGTGGGACAGACACTCCATTCACTAAAGGCTGTAACAATGCAGTCAACTTTGCAAGGTAATGGACAGGACCGTACTGAGTCTGGACGAGAGGACTCAGGACATCTAAAGCAAGATGGGAGATACAAAAGATCATCATAGAAGCCTGAACAAGAGTTAGTCTGTAAGATTTTTGTGCTTCTTTACCGTTTTGGCAGCACATGTCCATTCCCAGCCCTCCTGCATATGACTTGGCGCGTCTGTAGCCCCGTCCCGCAGGTGCTGTCATCCTCCATCTGGACTGTTCTGTTTCTTTCAGTCTTGTCTGTGATGGTGTTTGGCATGCAGGGATCCCAGGGTGAAGCGTCCCAGTGGTAGACGGTGCACGAGTGTGCCCCGCAGGATCTCCACTGCTCCAGCTCAGAGCCCGGAGGACACGGCTTTCCATCTACAACCAAACAGAGAATTCTGAGGTTCTGTTTATATCTGTCAGAAATGACTACTGTGTGTTTATTTATAACTTCAACTGCAGTGTTGCACTATAGATTCATTCAGCTCAACTATTATTGACTTATTTTCAGCTGAGACTTTAGTATTTCAAGAGTATTCTAAAGATTTATATCTTTCACTTCTATTACTAACACTCTCCATAATATTGTATACAATAAAGAGCCCTTTTTTGATAAAATAAGAAAAATGGTTGCATGCTTTCAGATTTTTTTTATTATTATATATATATTATAAATTATTATATTTTTTTATACTGATTGTTATTTGAATTATAGACTCAGGTTAACTACTGTATGCTTATATACACTCACCGGCCACTTTATCAGCTACACCTGTCCAACTACTAATTCACGCAAATTATTAATCAGCCAATAATATGGCAGCAACTCAATCCATTTAGCCATATAGACATGATCAGGACGAACTGCTGCAGTTCAAACTGAGCATGAGAATGGGGAAGAAAGGTGTTTTAAGTGACTTTGAACGTGGCATGGTTGTTGGTGCCAGATGGGCTGGTCTGAGTATTTCAGAAACTGCTGATCTACTGGGACTTTCACACGCAACCATCTCTAGGGTTTAAAGTGAATGGTCGAAAAAGAGAACATATCCTATAAGCGGCAGTTCTGTGGGCGCAAATGCCTTGTTGATGCCAGAGGCCAGAGGAGAATGGCCAGACTGCTTCAAGCTGATAGAAAGTCAACAGTAACTCAAATAACCACTCGTTACAACCGAGGTATGCAGAAGAGCATCTCTGATCGCACAACACGTCCAACCTTAAGGCGGATGGGCTACTGCAGCAGAAGACCACACCGGGCGCCACTCCTGTCATAGGTCCATCCTGCTTTGTGTCAATGATTCAGGCTGGCGGTGGTGGTGTATGAGGGATTTTTCTTGGCACACTTTGGGCTCATAAGTATCAATTGAGCATTGTGTCATCACCACAGCCTTCCTGAGTATTGTTGCTGACCATGTCCATCCTTTTATGACCACAGTGTACCCATCTTCTGATGGCTACTTCTAGCAGGATAACGCACCATGTCATAAAACGCAAATCATCTCAGTCTGGGTTCTTGAACATGACAATGAGTTCACTGTACTCAAATGGCCTCCACAGTCACCAGATCTCAATCCAATAGAGCACCTTTGGGATCCGGTGGAACAGGAGAATCCATCATGGATGTGAAGCTGTCAAATCTGCAGCAACTGCAAGATGCTATCATGTCAATATGGACCAAAATCTCTGAGGAATACCTTGTTGAATCCATGCCACAAATGATTGAGGCAGCTCTGAAGCCAAAAAGGGAGTCCAACCCAGTACTAGTAAGGTGTACCTAATAAAGTGACCAGTGAGTGTATAATAGCTTTAACTGATAAAGTTATTTATTAGTCATTGGCGAAAGTTATTAGTAATTAATAAAGTTGTAGCAACAAATAACCTTAGCTTTTCTGATGTTAACTGTAATGCAATAATGGACACCTTTTGTAAAGCTGCTTTGAAACAATAATTATTATAAAAAGTGATATAAAAATAAACTTAAATTCAATTCAATAACTTTGTTATTCTGGCAAATTGTAAATTTCTAGGGAAAAAAAAGCCAATATTTTTTTTTTTTATAATATGGAAGATATGTTATCAGACCTTTACAGAATAAAACAAATGATAATTTTTTTTTTTTCATTTTAATGCATGCCTAATAAATTCAGTAAATCCAGAGCAATTAAAGCAGCTATTTCTTCTATAGCTTGCTTATTCAATACAGTATATTGATTTTAAACTGCAAGTATCTAATCTGCAGTTTATCTGCAAGTGTCTAATGTTTATTTCAAAATACAGTAGCACAAAAATATTTTGAAATATTACCTGCTATATTTTTAAATATATTTAAAAATATAATTTAGTGCTGTGAAACGCAACATTTTTTGACTAACAGAACATTTAAAAGAACAGCTCGATTTTGTCTTCACTGTCACATTAGATTAATTTCATGCTGAATATATCTCCGTCTGGTCATATACTTAAAGACAAAGGAGCATGTGTTTGAGGGTCAAATGGAGGTTATGTGCCTGATGAGTGTGTGTCATAAAGGAATAATCTATAATTCATAGGAAAGAGCTGCTTTATGGGGACCGACATAAAAGAAACATGTCTGGAGATGACAGGACAAAGACTAATAGAACCACATTTTAAAGTGAGAATTAGAGATTTAGACTTTTTAAAAAGGTTTTAAAAGAGACTTTGTGAATAATTCAACTGAAAGAATCTCAAAAGAGGGTTTTGATAAAGGCTGTACATTTTTCTTCATCAAATATTACATTTTCACCAGGTTTTTGTGAATTCTTTTGCTTTGCATACTTGATATTTTCTACTTTAACTCAAAATATTGTATCTGTACACATACTTAAACTTGAACAAACACTGGTCCAGCATTTACAACAGTGAATGCCTGCTTTATATAAAAGGGTCTTTTGTTGGGAACTAAATGTTTAACCCTTGTGTATCAATTTGGAAAGGTTACTCATAGGTATATAAAGGACAAAAATGTCCATATCAAAAAGTATAATATTTCAAAAGCCATTACAATTTCACTAGATTTCTTTAATAGCATTAGCCCAGACTGTCATTTTAAGGATGCATAATTATAAATGCATAAATTAGTTTAGTCAACAAATTTTACATTTAAAGAAATGTCCACATTCTATTCTATTATTGAGAATAAATAAAGAATATTTATTTGAAATCAGCCTTGCAGCCACAGTCAATATCACAGTCAAAATCATAGCAAAAATAAATTTAAAAATATACATTTTCGATTATATTTTATTTTAAATGAAGAAATCAGCATTTTGTGGAACCT